ATCGGAATTGCGTGAGGATTTGAAGGGAGTCCTTAAGGGTCTACGATATCTTCATGGAAAACGTATCGCCCATCGTGACCTGAAGGCTGCCAATATCTTACTCACCGTCGACGGTACACCAAAGATCGCTGATTTTGGTTTAATCGTGCAGCTGGCGCGGTCCGTCACCGGCAGCCAAGAAATTTTCCCGGGCGCCGGCACCATCCGGTACATGGCACCTGAAAATTTCAATCCGGCATACGGTTGGCCGAGAACACGGGCTGATATTTGGGGGGTTGCCTGTGCGGTATTGGAGATGCTGTATGGACATGAGTCCCGGTTTTACGAAGAAACCTCAGCCGGTGCACGGCCCTTGCAGGAATTCGAGATACAGATTGCACTCAGTCGCGGAGATAAACCGTTCTACGATAAAAGTGACTGGCAAACTAAAAGCGGACTGAAGGGACGGTTTGTAGATACCGCGGAAAATTTTCTGGACATGTGTTTTCAGGCCAAAACGTCGGATCGACCCAGTGCAAAAGCCCTAATCGAACATTGCTTCGTGCAGGTATGTACACTAGCGGAGCAAAACGCTTTCAGCAGAAGCCGCAGGGCTACTTCAGAGAATTAGTTAAAGTTCCATTATGTAACTGCCCGCTTAGTTCCTCAAGTTTACATCTTGGAAGGATGTTTGGTGGGAGGTATTTGTTTGCCATAACAAGCTCATTATCAGGAAACGAATGCATGATAATCGCGTTACGTTTAGGGAAGGCCATTGAGCAGCTCTCCACCCATCCGTAGGAAATCCGGTCGGCTGGACAACGTAGCGCCCGCAGAATCTGCGCACTTTTTCCGTCTAACGGTAAGTTAAATGCCACGTAAAGGTTACAATATTATCACGGTAGAAGATCTTCTTGCCCGCATCAGTTGTGAGCCATAATATATCCTGTAACCGCGCTATAAAGCTGCGCTCACTGCCTCTACCACACATTGCACAGGTCATCGGGCAGCGTGCTCGCCGTTTGCGATAATGATATACCAGACTCGGTGGTGCAAAATCTTCGATCGGCTACTGTACTGGCCTACTGTTTTATCGAAATAAACTGAATGTAAGCATGCAGTTCTGTTTTAGCGCACGCCGTCTCCAGCGACATCATCGCTGGAATCACTGGAATCACTGGAACCACTGGAATCACCGAATTGGTTGGGCAACGATACAGACCAACAATTTTGTCCCAGTTGTATGACCGTGGTAGGACAACCATTCCCTCTCATCCGTACATAAGTTTGTCTCTTGTCGCAAATGGAATTCTTTTTAGCATGGTCGTGCTAGCACGACAGCCAGCCCCTCTGAGCTATTCTCGAGAAACGACCGCAGTGGAGGTGTTCCTTGTGTGGTGAATACCGTGCCGTCGGAATTGCCTTCGGCGATGCAAGTGTTTCGGGATGGGAGTGCGAGGCGTTTAGAGCGGGAGTGCGCTCAGCCAGATTCTATCAATACGATTCGCGTCAGCCGTGTTCAGCAGCAAGGTGTCTTGGAGGAAATGGCATCGTCATCGTTTCCGGGCAGTCTGCCGATGTCCCGCTCTCATGCCATTCCAATTATGTTGCCAACTACGCAGTCGTCGCTGATGTTTGGGGGCAGTTTGCCTCGGGAAATGGCTGGTAATCGGATTCACCAACGTAGAATGCCGAATTCCATACCGACAGCATGGAAGACGGTATGGAGGCAAGATCACTTTGACTGATGAATGATCTTCATATTCCGAGTCCGAGATTATATGGCATATTCTTACGATTTTCAACCTCCGATTTCTGTTGCTCCTCTTGCTTCCTGGAGAACAATTTCAACGATCTGCCACAATCGGGGGAACCGGCTACCGATGGTACAGGCCGCCGTCAGAATGACCGAAGAATTTGTAAAAACGTTAATGGTTAACTTGCTTGCTTGACCTGGCATCCCACATCATGCTGTTTTGTATGATAAAATATACTAAATTTAATAATATTTTAACCGCATTCTGCATCGACGTATTCAACTGAATTTTTTAGTACCACTACAGTAAGCCTTATGTTGAGTTTAGGGAATTCTTATATAAAAGCCGGCCTACCTTAATAAAATATGCGCCAAATAAAATATGAAAAACAGCTCGTATTAACACGTAAAACGTAGAGCAAAATAAAAAGGAGAAATTATACGCAAGCTGTGAAAATACAAATATGGGCACGGTGAAAGGTACAGTGATGGGTACGAATGCCATTCGGCATCCACTGTATCCTAAGTGTAGCCACTGTACCGACACTGTACTCTATCTGCATCCACTGTACCGACCTCGTAAATTTCTTGTTCCGCCACATTCTTCTACGTAGCAAGCGCCAGTGCCACGAGTCCAGCCAGACCCAGAAACGCTTCTTCGTTCTTGTACCGGGCCGTCCGCTTGAAATCCCCGTCAATGAACGGCCTGACCCCGTTCACCAGAGCCTGCTGCACATCCGCACTGGATTTCGCGTCCCTGTAACCTCGCGGGGAATCGAAGCGAAAAACTGGCTCCTGCCCCTGCAGCATCAAGATCAGGATGCACGCCAGACTCCACATATCCGATCGACGGCCGGGGCGCCCGATTTTTTTTGGATCCAATGTTTCCGGGGCTCTGTAATGGTAGGGCGGACCGCCGTTCGTTGGCACTTTGCTTGCCTTGGTCACGCTGTCCTGCAGCATGACGGCCGCACTGTAGTCGGCGACTTTCAGCGTTCGGTGCACACGCTCGGGAAAAACTACTCGGTAAATGGCCCCGAGAATATACGTATATTCTCGGGGCGCAAGTCGCGGTGCACAGTGAGCTGGCTGTGCAGATAATCCAAACCGTCGTCCACGTCGCGAAAAGGCCGGAGAACGTCGGCCGCCGTGTAGCCCGTGTTATATCCTCTATGCCTGTCGGCTGTCGCTCACATCGAGCTCGAGTGTTTTCCCTATCCAGAAAAGCGTGCATAAATATTTATTACAGCAAAAAACAGTTGTAAAAAGTCACAGTGAAGGGAACCCAGAAGCTCCCTTTTGATAAGTCATCTACTTACGGAAGACATAAGAAATCCAAAATATGTAAATGTCTCATAGAAAATGCAGGAAACACGAGTTCGGAGATTTATAGTTCAGCTTAAAGCAAAGCGCAGGATGGAATTTTTTCGCAGCCGTTCACATGGGAAGCTAATTTAAAACTATTACCGAAATTTTGGTAGCGACAGAATAAGGTTTTCATTTTGCTTTTCAAAGTCGTTTATTTCGATTTCTGGATGCATTTATAACAGCCTGTCCCGGTCTTCGGTTATTTATTTTTCCTTTAAAAGGAAAATCTCGTGATATTTGCGGAGCGTAAGCTTTGAAATTTACTGCACGAGATTCACATATTTCTGCCAAAATTTAGCATTTAATAATCTAATTTTTTTCTTCGTGCCGTTTGAAAATGCAATACTTGGTAAAATGGCCCATGCAGGAAGGATCTTATTGTAATAACTTCAATAAAATAAGCACATACCGTAGCAGCGCTCCATGAAAATCCGCAGATAATACTGCTGCAGCTGCGGATCGACACTATAATATCCAGAAAGTGGTAGATTACAATATTCATATGTTGGAATTCGCGGATAGATCGAAATTCCTTGACAGACGCGATTATGAGGTCATCGCATGTGGCACCGTTGGCTTTCATGGCACTGGCCACAATTTCTGGACGGAATTCGATCACTTTAACGGCAAATTTCTGGCCGCTAACGGTATCTCGAGCTTTGAAAACAATGTTTCCGGTACTTCCGCGCCCTAACGGACGATCATTGTACACTCGTTGAGGTGATGCCGGCTTGAATTCCGCAATCCCCAAAACTGCTGTCAGCTTGGTACAGTTCTGGTCGGTTTCGTGCATTCTTCCTTTGAATCACGGCAAGGATTTCAAGATCAAGAATTTTTAATGAACGCTTCAGCACGAGTATGGCGTACAGAGTACGGATATACGTAGACATATGTTCGTATGTGTGTCTCAGCCTTTATTGTCCTGTGGTTGGTACAATTCAAGATCGTCAATACATGTAGTTCACAATTTCACGAAAACAATCAAACAAAGTGCTACGTAACTGACAACAAGGCAACATTTTGGCGCCGCAAAAAGGGCAAGCCGACCTGCACATCACAAAGGGGCCTAAAAAAGAATGAAGAAGCAAAAGCTGATTGGACAACTCCGCCCACTCCAAATGCCGATGGCGAATGGCAATTGCACAGTCTTTGATGGAATGAGAGGCCCCTCCTCCTCGATGTTTGGCACACGGCAGCATGGATGGAGGCATACGTTTCACGATGTTGTACAAGATGTGTTGTCAACTGGGCACAACAGCATCTTAAGCTACCAAGACGGCCTGTATGAATGTTTTCGTTGGCTTGTTCCGATCGGTCGCGCACAATTATGCAAAGGAAAAGCACTTCCTTGTGGATGCAGCTAGCCAGCTCGCGACACATGTCTCCTTTAACTTCTTCGTCAGATAACGGTGCGGCTGCATTTGATTATTACCCTAATCCAAAATATTGCACTTGTGCAAACAGTTCATTACTTCAAGTATCGTGAAAGGTGTAACATGTGGGTCACGTTCCAAGCCAGACAATATCCCAATGGTACCCACTTGCTCGGGACAGGAAAAGCAACACCATAATTCACAAATTCTACTCTTACAGGCGTTATATAATTTGAGTATCCTCTAAAAGAACTATGTATGCTAGCGGTGGTTGGCAACCACATCAGTACACCGAGCGAGTGCCATACCACTGGAAAATGGCATTAGATTTGTGGAACGGGAAAAGCGTGGCGTACGCCTTTCGTGGCGTCAGACAAATTTTATGCTATTGGCGAAGGCTTAATAGTAATGTTTACGTTGCAGCACAATATTTACTACAGCAATTTATTTCTCATAAATTCATACATCCACTGTCGGTTAACAATATAACCGTACACACTGTTATATCAAGACTGAATAAAACAACTAAAATCGTCGCCGTGACAGAATAAAACAACCAAAATCGTCGCCGTCGTCTAAAATCGTCGCCGTGACTGAATAAAACAACTAAAATTGTCGCCGTCGTTTATTCTTTCCTGCCAAAGTGCCCAACTGCAGCGGCATTTCCCTTCATATTAGCCCAACTAATTCGCTATTCAAGAAATGTCGGGGATCAGCTCTCGTGTTTATCCGCCTCGCTGGGATACACCCAATGCCAATTTTTAGAGCTTTTAGGGTTGAAGCAGAAGGTCACATTCGTGGATGCTTGTGCCACGGCCGTACATCCCATATTCTCTGCAAGACACCTCGTGGAGACTGCGAATGCAGCGGTGTATTGCGTACCTGAGCCAAATCGCGAATGCGAACGACATTCCGTGAGCGATACAACGTCTCCACGTAGCTGAAGCGCTGACGTTCAGCATGCTGTTCCATCCAGTTCATTTTACGGAACAGCGTCCCAATGAGCGTCAGCCCAAGCAACCGTTCAACGTCTTCCTGCATCGTCCTGGCCGTGACTTCGGTAGGCAAATCATTTGCGCTGTTAAGCGCGCCCGGCAGGACAGCGCGTTCGTGCGTATAGCGTCGCAGCATCTCTTCGCAGACATCCAGTGTCTGGCGATCCCCTCCGGCAGCAACTTTCTGCTTTTCTTGGTTAATCAGCTGGTGGAGATATTCATCCAGAGCATCCTTGTGATTGGACATGGCGTTGGTTTTCAGAAAATAAGCATATTTCGATGCCATGGTGATGATGATATCCAGCTCATTCTGTAGCTCCACCTTCTGGCTCTCTAACTGGCGGACAACATTTTCCGCCGCTACAATATCCAGATCCTTTTGCTTTAACAGACCGGGAATGCTCTCGTCCATAACCTTAATGGGCTTGACACGGTATTCGTTTTTGACAAGCATGTGGTTTTCATAACCGCATCCACAATGGGTGCATTTACCGGCGTCGTTCATCATTTGACATATACGCAAGGCTTCAACATTAGTCGTCCCAGCGGGTACGTCTTGCGCTTCACAGTGCGGGTGGCACCATGTCTTGTGATTAATCCGCGTCTGCCCCGTATTGTCCTGGTACAAGTACATCTCGATGCAGCTCGGCGCAGTACACACCAACCGCGGATGAGGGATTTCCACCAGCTCCAATTGGTCCTTGCTAACATACTGTTTACTCAGGAGGACGCCCTTATATTCTTTAAGTAACGCCAGTTCATTCTGTTTGCCATGCGTACTGTTGATGTTTGCTTCGTGAATCGTGGTGATTTGCGCCATGAGTTTCGTCAGGTCCCGGAATAAGCAGCGTGCTTCATTCAACGTAATGGTTGCCTGCGTTTGGTGCGCGTCGAGTCGGGTCACGTGATCTATCAAGCGCGCCGTCTCCTCCACCGACTTCTCCCAGCTTTTGGCATAATTCTCCCGCTCCTTCTTGCTGAACTGGATCCCGGCTTTGCTAGCGGCCAGGAACCGTACCGACTCGTTGTCCAGACAAAACATGGTGCTTTTGTTTAGCGGAATATTGATATTGCTACTCTGCTCCAAAAGTGTGGCCAGTGGCGCCATTGTGTCCCCAGGGCGATACCATGTCGACCGCGTATGAGTAAAGACGAAGATCAAATTGCGGGAAGCATCTTTGTGCAGGCGAGCCAGCAGTTCCTGCACACAGAACTGGAACATCAGGTTGGACATAGTGCAAAAGGGTTTTAGAAGAACGCATATTCCGTGAATCTCTGAGACATGCGAGATATGTGAGAGGATCTTCTCGAAATTTTTCCTGTCGCGATCCGGATCAAGAGTGTTCCCAGTTCCTGGGGTATCGATTAAGCGAACGATGCGGTCTTTGTACGGAAAGGCGTAAGTTTTGGTATCCTGTGGGGCATCATCGGTTAATTCCCTGCTTGCCAGCGGACTGTTCGCTTTATGCTCGACAAGCGTCCCACCGGGATTGTAACCCATGTTAATTTGTCTGGGTACGTAATTTTCCTCCGTTAGAGTGAAAGACGAGGGTATCAAACATATGAGACCTTCCCGCTCGGCTATGGTCAACGAATCATAGGTTAGGTAGTTGATGAAGCCGTTAATCCATGTGGACTTTCCGACACCAGGTTCACCTGTCAGCAACAAAATCTTTAAGATATTGCTAGACAAAAGCGGCTTACGCACAGTTGAGCCTGCGGACTATAAACTAAATAAAAGGTGAGTGCCTGGTGTTCCTGTACAACGCGGATACCGGAATTGCAGGGTTGTACCAGTTCTTATCTCTTCTTCTTTCCTCAATAACGTCCGATGGTGGCGTGCGGGAAGCGTATTCAACCACGCCCCCGAGTCGCCATGCCATTGTACACGCTGGTGGCCGTTAAGACATAATGCCGACAAATCATTGATCTTCAACCTAAAAGGAGCAGATTTATTTCCTTCGGAGGTTTATAGGTTCGCAGTTTCTTTTTTAGTTCTTGAGGCTCTGCATGGATTTGGCCGATCCCGTGGCCAGGCTTGTTACAACGGAAGCGATACGTGTTGGCGGGGGCACTTCCACACTGACAATACAGTTTATCGTCGTACCCGTACTGAATTCGTGATCGGCACGTGTCGCAAAACCACGCTCGGTCCAGAACACCACAGGTTTCATAGCGGTGTCCCGGACATGGAAACTCAAAGTCCACAAAATACTTTGGCTTTGTTAGATGCGTATCTTGTCGTACGCTACTGGAAAGCGCTGTACACAAGGGCTCCTCTTGAAGTGGTGCTGCTTCATCTGGTGCTGTCAGTGGGTTTCTTGCACCACTATTTGAAAGACAACACTTCCGTCAGGAATCAGGACCACAATCAGCAAATACCGGAAACCAACAAATTGCGGTATTCAACAAATTCTCGGCAATAAAAAGGCTTTCGGGAAAAAATCTTAAATAACGATCGGACATTACCGTTACCAGTCCTTTTAGCTCGCGGCTACCCGAACAGCCTAAGCTGACGGTAGTTCTAACGCTTTTGTTCATACAAAATTCAGTTCCGTTGTTTTTCAGTGCTAAGTTACTTTTATTCTGTCATGGAGTTCATCCATAGTTCCTCGATACAGTTACGCTGTTTACGTATCAAGTTGCATAAAATTACTTTTCTGGGTGGACAGTGCGCAGAAAGATCGGTGACCGCAACATTGTGGCGGTTGTCTGTTTTGCGATGACATTTTAAAATTTAATATAAAATAAAAACAGGGATTTTAAAATTTAATATCGGAAGCATGACAGTATTACTAACCCCTGTTCTTGTGCTTACCCTTCGGGTTCCTGTTCCTTGTTTGTAGTCGTGACCGGTGTGAGAATGGTGGTTCTCGCTGCGAGATTTTCCAACGCCCGTGGCTTGAAAACCGTGGTATAGACTAACGCCGTCAGTCCAACAACGGCTGTAAGAATCCCTGGCCAAAAATCGTCATGCCGTACAAGATGCCAGCCGATTAAAACAACGATAAGCAGAGCCACCTGGACGGCGTACGTCACCACATCGTAACCATGCAGCATGGCCCGGAATGTATATGGTCCAATATCCACCTGCATGTCGCGCATATGCGCCAACGCTCGCTCCACACTGTTACCGAACTGCGCTACACCCAACCTTTCCAGTCCGTGCACGTGGAGATTGGTGTTTCCAATCACCTTGGCCACTTCCAGCAGCCGCTGACCGAAACTCTCGCCGACTTCGTTCAGTCCAGAAATATCGATATTGTAATTGGTGAGAATTTCGGCAGCCTCTACCAATGACTGGCCGAACTCGCGTCCCAGTTCCCGTCCCACCGTTTCCAGACCGCCGACATTCATCTGCATATTCTGGAAAGCTTCCGCGGCCTTTTGCAGATGCTGGCCGAACTGCGCCACCGGGTCTAGTCCGTGTACAGTGTGCTGGCCGATTGCGTGGACGATGTGCTGGGTGTGGCGCAGCTGGATTGCCGCTTGCTGAAGATCCCGTCCGAATCGTTCCAGACCGGCTTGCGTTTGGGCGGCAGCAACAGCCCCAGCATTCCTCCCCACGTTCCCGAAAAGTTTTTTTGCTAGCCATGCAATGGGCATGGCTGTTGCAGTTCATACAGTTCTGCCGTCCCAAAAAGAGGGTCTTCAATCAGACAAAAAATCGTGCGGATTGATGTGTGACTGGTTACGGAAACGCGTTGTAGGTATAACCATATGTAACAATAGATGAATAACGGCACTTCCCTAAAAGTAAATTCCTTTAATCAGCACGAACGACCCGGTCTATTTACAATGTTAGGTGACAAGGGTGGAAATAAATATTTGCACACCGTTAAAGTGACAGGAAGCACTGCGATTTACTAGTAACATTAACTAGATTAAGTAAAAGGAAGAATCAAGAAACCAAGCGCATGGATCGAAGGATTTGTCTCACTTACAGTACAGTCCGAGCTCGACCGTGCAGCAACCGCACCAAATGAGGTCGTGCCACCAACTGAAAGGTAGAAAGCAGGGTAAGTGCAGGATTTAAGCTCCAAAAAAATTGTCCAGCGCAATTCCACAGTCGTGAAGAAAGGAAGTGGTAGAAGCTAATTCCAATTACAAATGTTAATTTTGAAAAATTGTTTAATGAAGGCCGATGCCCAATCGTAGACATTTATATTCAGTTAGTCAACATTACACCGTAATCGTATTATGTGTACATTAACCGCCTGCAATGTTATCGTTTGTAAACGGATGTGGTCTGTATAAATAAAAAGGTGAGAACACTGGCGCACTTTCAGGTGGCTTTAATGGACAAATTGTTCCGAAAATGAATGTGATAGACGTATTGTTGAATGAGCACATCTGATTCTAGACAACAATTGTGCTGGAATTTGACATATGACAGGTTATCATCTTACCAGAAGAATATCGTGCGCAACAATCAAAAGTCATTGCGCACCATGATAAGACTGTGAGTGTCAGCAAAGTCGACGCTTGAGAGCAGCAACGGTAACTAAAAGTATTATCGTTTCACACAAGTTTGATAGTGCTTCTTGTGCGCAAATGAAAGTTTTCAAGGCTTAGTCAACACAGCTTTCCCCTTGGCGTTGAATAAAATTTATTTTGGATTATGAGATTGAAGTCCATTGGTGAATAGCTACTGTATATCCAGCTGCCTGTTTGCCAAATCGCAAGTTTTGTACACCATCCCGTATAAAGAGTACACAGATCTACGGCACGTGTACATACGAGGATCGGTCAGGTGTATTCGTTAGGATGCCAAGGAAAAAGATCTATATCTCCACAGCCGCGTAACCATTGAAGCAGAAATGCAAAACCTGAGCTTTCGAAGCAAATTAGAAGGAAACAAAAAAAGCTGGAAAAACTAATTGATTCAGTTAAGTAATGATGAATTCGGAGTCATATGTAACGGTCAGTAATGGAAAACAAGCAAAATATTCGTTCATTATTAATGGAAATAATTGATTTATAATACTTCGTAAATAACAAATAAGCAGATCGGTAAAGAGGTTTTGTGTTGGACTGTAAAAACATTCTGAAACTGGTTCTAACAAAATACCGCACAACAGGAGCATGGACTTATGGTACCATCCTAATCCTTATCAGCTTATCACCTTATACAGACTGGTAGGGTCTATGCATAGCAAACCGCATTTACTACGGACGACAAAAAGAAGTTGAACCGATCAGTCGGTCCGCGGTTCAAAAATAACCTCGCAACGACACGCCACCAGTAAAACTTGGACGCTTACTCACTTTCCTTGCATGCTACTTTCAGACGCTCGCGCTCCGTGAATATCGAGGTGCAACTATACTAATTGCATATCATAAGGTGTAGAAAAAAATATTAACTTTTTGGTACTAAAAATGTGGCTGTTTATGGCGTACAGCACAAATTCTAGCCATTTTGCTTTCCCATAGACTTAAGCATAGATTGCAAGCCAAACGGTTTTGCGCACACATCGGCTATGCTGTGCCTACGAGAAAGCAAAATGGCTAGAATTTGTGCTGTTCGCCATAAACAGCCACGTTTAGCATAAAAAAGTTAAGAATTTTTTTCTACGCCTTTTGATATTGTGCAATTAGGGTAGTTGCACTTCGATATTCACGGAGCGCGAGCGTGAGTAGCATGCAAAGAAAGTGAGTAAGCGTCTAAGTTTTACTGGTGGCGTGTCGTTGCGAGGTTATTTTTGAACCGCGGACCGACTGATCGGTTCAACTTCTTTTCGTCGTCCATTGTATGTGTCCCGCAGTGACAGCAGTCTATATTTTTAAAGATAACAATGTTCGGTAGCTGCGCTTAATATTGATTTCTAAAATGTATAATTTATTTCCGACTATAAAGGCATTTGAGGTTTATGCAACGCTGACGGTCTCTTGCCATCAGAATGATTCCAGACGCTGTCGTTCCTTTCCCTCGCTTAAGATTGCGCACATGCTGTTATCCATGAACTTAGGGCAGAATTCTGGAGCTGCTGATTTTAAATATGCATCATGCAAAAGCTCTGCTGCCGACTTCCGCTGTTCCGGGTCGAACATTAAGCACGACTTTATAAAATTTAACAAATTCTGGTCTCCTTCGGCACTGGAAAGTTCCGGCAGTTGTGGCTTGCCTTTTCGACCACCAACAGACACCACCGCACTTGTATGATATGTATATTTTTTGCCATAAGAATAGTTCTCCCATTCGTGCGTTCCTGGTCCCGTACTGCCTTTCCACTCGCAAATGACGGGCTCCTCCCCGGTTGCCAGGTATATCGCAACGCAGCCCACACTCCAGATATCGGTTTTACCGCAAACTTCTGCTTCTTCATTGGGAGCTAAAGCAGTACAGTGCAAGAGTTCCGGGGCGGCGTATATAGGAGTGTAGCAGTTGTTCTCCGTTTCGTGGCTCAGTTCCCCATTTACTGCAGCTCCTTCGAAGTCGATGATCACTACACGCTGGTCAGCGTGAACTACAATCAGGTTTTGTGGCTTGATATCGCAGTGAAATATTTTGTGTTTGCACTGTACATGCAAGTAATGGAGCCCGGTTAACACGTGGCAGAGAAACTGTTTTATGTGCTCAGGGGAGATGACGCCAGTGTCCTTCAAATTATTTTTCGTCCAAGCGCGTAAATCATTACCTAAACAAAAATCATGATGTTATAGCAGGCGGCAGGGGATAAAAGGTGGCAGTGGCACCTGCCACTGGCAGCTGCCACCGGCAGTGGCAGTTGCCACTACGAGTTCTGGCAAGCGATAAAACGTGGCAACTGACCGAATTTTCAAATGAGATGGACGTGCCATCCAACGATAATCTCTTTCTTAAATAAAAAAAAAATTCAGAAGGGAGTAAGTCACCGGGTAACGCTAGTCAATGGTTCTGGTATTTGCTGTGGTAGCGGTGCTGGTAGTGTCACCGATGCCGGTAATGGTAGGTATAGTACATAATTCTTAGGTACTGGTGGTTTTAATGGTGGTGGTGATGGTAATGGAAGTGGTTACGGACGTGGGACTGCATCTTTTCAATTTTCTCAGATTTCCTTGTTTTGCTTGGTTTCTCATTGTCAGGTGTCCCAGTTTTCCTACTTTCCTAGCTTTTTCAGCATTCTTAATTCTATTATTTTCCTTAGATTTCTTAGGATATATTTTGCTGTTTCTTAGTTTATTTCTTAGATTTTCTTAAGAAACAACACAAAACTTAAGAAAAAAAATTGAAGACCTCAGAAAAGAAAACCTTAGAATAACCTAAGAATAACCTAAGAATAACCTAAGAATAACCCGAATTCACCTAAGAAACCTAAGAAAATCTAAGAATAATCTAAGAAGCAACCATAAGAAAACCTAGCGAGTAAGAAAACAAATGCATAAGAAAACATCCCAAAAACAGATGAGAAAATCAAGACAGCTAAGGAATTTGGGTTTCCACCTTACCACTACCATAACCGCTGCCAGTCCCATTACCACCACCAGTACCGCTACGCTTACCTCTACCACCACCAGAACACGTACCATAAATTAGAACTACCCGGCGACTTACTTCCTTTTTAATTTTTTAGATATTTTATACAGAGATTATCGTTGGCTGGCACATCTATCTCATTTCCTTGTTCCGGCAGTTGCCACGTTACAGTATATCGCTTGCCAGAACGCGTAGTGGCAACCGCCACTGCCGGTGGCAATTGCCAGTGGCAGGTGCCACTGCCACCTTTTATCCCCTGCCATAGCAGGCAGAAAATTTTCGGGTTTCGTGTATGAACTGCGATTAAATACCGGCGTAATAAAGGCTGGCTGTAAGATGGCAAAGGTGGTTTTCATTGCAGTAAACAGGTTCGGCAAGAGCTAAGCCGCAGTATTTGGTAACATTCCAATGATCCAGGTTAAGTAACACTCTTATCCTTGGAACAAATGTACTGTTAAAAACTTCCCGCTTGATCTTCGCCGTGACAGCTTTTATGAAGATCTTCTGGTTTTGATGGTCTACGGTAAACAGTAGCCGCTGCATCCGTTCATCTCGAGGCTGCCAGTCCTTCGGTAATTTGCTTATGAATCCGCCTTCTGGGAGTATATCTTCCACTACGAACATCTAAAACGAAAAAGTTTTCATCAACTTGTCGCAGTCAATAAATAATGGCATAAACGAAATTCCCATAAATGAATTTATACCCTGAAAGCTGCGTTGTATTGCAGTCTTGTGAAAATATAGCAGTCAATGCGTAAAAACTATTTTTACAAAAGAAGCGCTCAGTTAAGAAAAATTGACTTCCTAATACTGTAGACTACCATTAGGCTTACTCACTTCTCCTTGAAATAAATATTTTCAGCTCTGCTTGACAGCTTCTAGATTGCGCGAGTGGTTGTAGGCGCAGCATAGCACTGTCGCCATTGCGCCTTGCAGTGTAGTACGTATTAGTAATGCTTTTCATCAGCTTTTTATCTTTTCATCAAACGCAAACGCCCCCAGGCATGCAACCATGCGGTTGACGCAGAGATTAGTAGTTCTACGGTAGGCAATAAACCGGTAGAGCTAGTGCAAGTCATGCAATCACACAGACACTGTTTCTTCGCTAGGCCGAAGCAAAATAAAAACCATTGCTGCAGAAATCGTCGTATGTTGATCAGTTAGTTATTAATAACGCAACAGCAACTGACAAAATATCCAGAATTTTTATCAGTTTTTCCTATCGTTTATACGGGATATTCGTCCTAATTTCCAAAATATTGGATTGTAAAAAGCTGATAAATCATACCATGAATACTGTTGAGGATTTCATTCAGAAGCCTTCCTGTCGTATGTTGGACAAATTGGAGGTTGCCGCAGCAATTATAGATACCGTTGCCTCGCGCCATGACAATCAGGAAGGTGGCTTTGATTTCCGTCCGCATAAAGTTGTTGTTTCGGGACGGACAGCGCAAGTTTCCGTGCTGAAAATGGACGAAATCGATTCCGATTATGTAAAATACCATCACGAGGAAGCCGTGCGTGCTCTGTTGTATGCTGCTCCGGAAATCATTGCAGAAACTGGGCTAATGGGCATAGAATGCTTCCAGAGGGCGGACGTTTGGGGATTTGGATGTTTGTTGTTATACCTTATCAGCGAAACCCATCCTCTACATTATGCTACTTTTAAAAATAAAGAAAGACGTTGCCTTAATTACGAGCAAAACCCGTTTCTTGCTATCACAATAATGGCGGCAAGCGGTAAGAGCCAGCCCGATTATCAGAGCTATTGTGGGGACTATACCGCATTGTTGGAACTGTTCGCTTCCTGTTTCCGCTTTGAACCAACCGAGCGAGAAAGCGTGTCAACACTGCGAAACCAACTTCTTCCTGCTTGTGCAGTGTCATTTGCTGCAACACCATCGATACGAAAACCTTTTGAGATGGTTTACCTCATTTCCAGTAGGCCGGAAGACCCACAAATCTCCGAAAGCACGGGATTGGCAGCCGCTGAGATTGAGCGTTCAAGTAAGACGATCCTACATAAGATCCCATTTATAATTTACAAGACATGCCCAGGGAAAGGTCATAGTACAGATGCCGTTGTGCAGATGCCTGGCAAGTATCAGAATCGGTTAGACTGTGACTATCAGTGTGAGATGATGTGGAAAAAAAGAATATAGAAAGAATATATAATCGTAAAAGAATATAGATACGATAGCACCACTTCATTTTTTCTTCTTCTCGGTGTCAATAAATCTGCAACAAGCGAAACCCAGCAAGGAATATATAGAATACAAATATACAAATATACAAATAAAAAAGCATCTATGCACGATCAGGCCTCTCAGTGTAAGCGTATTAACAACAGCCAACAACATCATTTTATTTTGTTGCGAATGAGAAATTTTCAATAACACACACAACGTTTTTAGAATGTTATTAATAAATTTTCGGATTATACAATCACAGACTTGGTCACAGCGATTTTGCATCCGTATTTTTATTATTTCTAATAATATTTTTTTGTTCAGCTGCAGAGCATTCACGCGTAAATGTTTCCGGCATATCTGAAAAGAATCTTCCCGAAAAGTTGTCGAAAGAGAAGCCTGCCCTGCAAAGGCATCCAGGTCGTCCTGCGTTCGTACAAACAGTAGCCGAAGCCAGAGGATCTGGAAGGGAAGAACTGTACGAGACACCAACACATTACGAGGGCGCAGACTCAAGGGCTGAATCTATTTACGCGAAACTTCCCGATAAAAGGACCCATAAACTATTGGCGGAACACAGTGGTAATCCTATCAGCGTGAGGACGGAGGTGCCTGCTGACAGAGAGACAAGAGAAAAGCTAAAGTTCGCATCAAAAAAGTGAATCGCAACCACTGACCGCGCGTTCTTACGAAGGATTAAACATTTCGTAATTACCGACTTCACAGACGGCTGTGTATAGAATCGCCCCTGTAAACAGATTTTCTGCTGAAAATTTATTTTTTTATCCATTTTGCACAATCAAATTTGGCAATTTTTCGTTATTTTTTTTAAAAAAAAAGCAGTGTGATGCAATTAAGCATGTCCAGTCATATTCTAGGCCTAAGGATTCCTCAAAACGCGATCCTAGTTCTTGTGCAATGAGAACCACTCGAGAACAACGTGATCGTTGCCGGAAACACTTTAAGTGCTATAAATGTTTCGGGGTTTTCAGCTTACATCGACGCTTGCTTTGCATTCACCTGGTGCCGGTGTCGAGTGTATTTCTCCGAGTACAAGGAACGCACCTCATAGCATACTTCCGTTACCTTGATTTCGTTCGTTGTCATGAGTTAAATATGTAACAAAGTGCACTGGCTTTCGCGGTTTAACCTTATAGCAAAATTCAGGGTCTGCATGGTTTTGAAACTTCCGGGCACGGCGGGCAGTGAAACGCATGTAAATTGATTGCAAATACGGTAGCTGGTTCGCAGAAATTATTATGTCTTTGAAACAAATTGATTTGCCAAATTCGAAAAGTGCACGAAAAAAATCAATCTAAAAATTAAACCAATGTTAAATTATAAGAATTATCAAGAAAAGCGAAGATCTGACGCGGTTAGAAAGTACGTATCGGATTTGCAGTTTGGAATCAAACGCAAATAAACTAGACATGGTACCGCTTTTCCTCAGACAAGTGGGCCTCGCAAAGTACAGTAATCACGGTTACAATGCTATTTCCCGCTTACAATTTCAGTTCAGTATTTCAAGGTATATTAACACAAAGGCTGTCATTCTCATCCTGCTACCTTTTTGCAATTCTTCAAAACGGCGCAGCGAAACGGCGCAGAAATCACCGATGTAAGAACGTGCCAATGCATATTTTCTGTAGTTAGTGACACAATTGCGTGCCCCTCCCCTCCGCCTTCGTATACGCTGCCAGTGCAACCCGCCTGCTGTGCTCTGTAGTCTGTACAGTGACTACGAATACGGATTTTTATACATGCACTGTACCGTTTCCGACCGCTCCTCATTCCGTCTGTGTGCCAAACTAAGTACGAGAAACTGTTTCCGTCTGGCCCAACATCCTTGCAAAAACGAGAAAGGGTAACCGCGGTTAGTACGATTCTACTACTGTACCCGCGCGAGTTTAAGGGACAAAAAATTCCCCCAGACCGCCCGCACTAGATGTTGATTCCTTTGACATTCCCGTACAACCGCCGTACCATCGTGCACGGGAAACAAGGTCATACCACCCGGACGTTTGCCGTGCTTGTCAGAAAGACCTGTCGGTTCACTTTGACAAGGGTACCCCGCAGTCTCCAAGCCACGTTTGGTTTCGTTGTTCGGTTCGAGTCGTTCGACATGACGAGACAACCTGCCTTTACTACCAGAAACAAGACAATTTATAGTGCGCGTTCCTCTCAACATGGCTTCCACAATTTACGCAGTCGTGTTCTTCAACTACGGGGAGTCCAATTCGAAGAGCGACACCAGATTCTGATATCTTCGTCCCGGAGGAATGTACGCAGGTATGGTGCTGGGTGAGCGTTCAACCATGCGCCAAAGTTACGATGAAAAGCAGGCAGCAGCACTGATTTATCAGTTTCGCTCGTTAAACTGAACTTCAGCAAAGCTACGACAGCGTTTATCGTTTGGGCGATCCCAAGAACACTGAAACTTTCTACTTTCTTCGGGCGGAGGTTCGAATCTAATACATCATGCCCACAAGTCTACCACAGCGTCCAGGAGCTACCGTCGAGGGCTGATAGATGTCCGAAACAAGAGACACCACTAAATACACCGATGCCAAAAAGGCAGCAAAAACTAGCGATTTAGTGGTGCGTAGTCCCAGTCCACCGTCCTTAACCGGCAGTGTCATTTGGCTCCACTGGAGGTCTGTCACACGTATGTTCAAGATCGACTGCATGCCAACGCGCACACCATCATCGATGGCTTCTGTGCGGGATCCATACAGCAGCTTTGGGATTAGCAGGCAGTGTTTCAGCTGGCACTTTCCGAGTTCATATTAGTCGCATGTCGGACGATATTACTTGCCACACTGGCCTAAACATATGGCACGCTTCTCTGCTCAACGTCTGCACCATTTATGACGCACATACAATAAGCCATTGCCGGGTTGACAAAACCACAGCGATGTTAGCGGTTTTGTCAACAGTTTTACGTACAGCTGCATTTGCGATTTGGTAATGGTGGTTATTTTTGTTGCACACTGCATGTACAGCCCACCGAAAGCCGTCTACTAAAGTCATATCCAGATTCAGATCTATATTGCCACGAATGGGATGCACCAGGGCCGGCAAACCAGAAAAGACTGACCAAAACCAACATTTTATTTTGAAAGCCCGTAGTCGAAACACTGGCCAGATAGTATTCATTTCTTTCAGAACCTCTCCCGCTTGGAACGCCAAAGTCGAAGAGTTTTGACTACCTTCACCAAATGCAACTAAATTAATATAATAATCCTTATCTTCGTGGTATTTTTAACCAAGCAGTGCTGCCACGTAAACCAACTGAAATATATTTAAAAAATGAATGTCTATGAATTTCTGCTAATTAAATTATCAAAATGAATTTTATTTGCAGACCGTTATTACGACAAGAACGACTACATATGTAACGTCATTGTCATCGAGGACAATTTCTGTACTAGTGCCGGCTGAGCAGCTATCGCTACACTATCACCACTATCTACTATGATTGTCTGTTCAATCAGTGGTAGACCGAACTACCGCCACTAATAGTAATCAGTGCACAAACCCGTTAGTTCAGCGAGTGACCGAAATACCCCTATAGTCTAGGTGACTGAGCTCGTTAGGCTAATAAGTGACCGTACTGTTACTATAGCTCATTAGGTGAGCGGATGACCGAGCTGTCACTGCTCTCCAGCGTAAAGCCCGTTAGGGAACCGGCGACCGAATTAACCCAAATTTCTCGGCTTCAAAGAGCTCGTCAAGGAACGAGCGACTGAGCAGTCACTACTGTTCGTGCACAGAGCCCGTTAGGTGAACGGGTAACTGCGCTTACCTCCACTGTCCAGTGCACAAAGCCCGTTAGGGAACCAGTGACCAAGCTGATGTTAGGGCCGTCAGTGACCGAACTACCAAGTGCCACTATAGTCCCTTGAAAGAGTCAAACGATACGAATAAAAGCTATTACAACGGAGCATCCGAATAGACCGGCCGCATCCGAATAGACCGACCGTTAACTGAGACCAAGCGCGTCAGCGAGCGGGTAACCTCGCCCATTATTGAGCGGGTGACAGAGCCCGTTAGGCGAGCGGGTAACCTCGCCCATTACTGAGCGCGTGACATGGCCCGTTAGGTGATCGGGTGACCGAGGCCGTTAGTTAGCGGGTGAAAACGTCCGTGAGTTGAGCGGGTGACTGAGCCCGTTAGGTGAGCGGGTAAAAGAGCCCGTTAGATGAGACAGACCCCGTTAGTTAGCGGGTGACAGAGCCCGTTATTGAGCGGCTCACAGAGCCCGTTAGTGAGCGTGATTGCGCTACCACTACTGTCCGGTGCTCTGAGACCTTTAGGTGAACGAGTGACTATGCGACCACTGTCGTCCAGTGCACAGAGTCCGTTAGGTGATCAGGTAATCGAGTTACCACTTCTGACCGCACATAAGATCCGTGTTTTTGCGTTAGTGCGATAATATTACAATAATGACGTTTCGGCGAAACATAGATGTTATATTATAAATATCCATCCGAAAATCAAATAAGTGGCCGTGGACCACAAGAAACGCGGAGACGAAACTGCGGCTGATAATTATTACTGCGTAAATAAATCCAACAGAAGCCAAACTCCAGAGCTACCGGAGAATTCAATATTTAGCACAATCGTATTTGCTTATACATGAAGACACTGTTTAATTCGTCAAGTACAGAATAAGCCTCGGATTTCGAAAACTTGAATATCGTAAGTAAAGAAGCGTATTCTCACAGTCACGCATAAGGCGCCAGATACTTCAGCACTGCGCCACATCGTAACAAGACGTGTTGTACGAAAAGTGTGTGCCGGCACGAATGTTATCGTACGTCAGATTGCCGGTGCAATCCACACTGAAAACACTGGGAAACTCTTCATGGGTGGTGACCGCCGGAGTCCTATAACTCCCAATCACTGCGACTTCGCCGGTTTCTTTAGGGGCGGCCAAGTGCAGCTTCTGTTTAAGGAAGTTGCGGAGCCACGCCAAGGAGCAGTCACAATGCAGGCGGCGTACGACGGCAAAATCAGCCTCGGTTAAAGGGGACTCGTGGCCCCGGTGCAACGCCATCAATTCCAGACCGAGGTCATACTCCAACATCAGGCTTTTCAGCCTTGGCAAATCGGTGAACGTGTGTGTCTCTATCATAGCGATCGTGGAGATAACGAAACGGATCATCTGCACGTTCTGCATCTGGGAAAAGTCCCGTTTCCGAATCGTCAGGTTCCTGCCCCCTTGCAGTTCCAGGGTAACCAAATTCGGAAGTGTACCGGCAGCGTAGATTTTGCCGGTGATGGTCGCCGTGACGCAGCGCAGCACGTGCAGCTCGATCAGTAGCTGACGAACCGGGTCGATGACGTCATAGTGCACCGGATCGTCCGTGTCGGCGCGTTCGTGCAACTGGAGCGTCACCGCGCGGTCGGAGCTGATGTTGTGGATGTTGCGAGTCAATTGGGCGGCCGCGGCGCGGACTCCATCTAAACAGCGCGCTTCGATGTACGTCAGGTAAATCGTGCTTTCACCCTCTACCTGATGATAAAAGGACTGCACTAAAGGACCAATGTCGCAGAGAGGCGTTGAGCCGTCTACCAAAACCGAGTATGCGAAATATTCGGCCTGCGTAAAATTATCCGTGCGGAAGAAGAACTTTTCCACCGGGACGACAGAATCGGGAGATGCAATGGCTGCTGACGATGTGCTGCATTCGGCTTCCAGTTCGCTGAACGGTTCTAGAAAAACAAAAAAAAATATAATTCAAATCCTGGTCAGTTACTGTTCGGAAATACCAGCGAACTCTGCAGCCAACAGAATAGCGGCGGTAAACAAGTAGGTCTGAAAATACATAATTCCGAATAATTGTTGTTGTCAATGCAACTTCCGGTGTGTTGGTTTTCGGTAGTGTAGACCGTATCGACAATTTACAGCGGCTGTTATGCGCGAATTCTGTAGACGTTTGCGAGAAGCCACTTGAACTATAAGTCTACATCTATTCTCTACCCAAAGCGCTGTCTTCAGCCTTACCAGTGAGCGTCGACTTTAAATCGTGTGGATCGTTTGATAGCCATCTGTACGATGTACTGTTGTACTGTACCTACCATGATCATGCAACCAGATACTGGACTCACAGCCGTTTGAAAATTGTAAATTCTCGCAACTTCCTTGGTAGTTATTTGGCAAGTGCTGTATGTAGCAAACATCTGTATACTTAAATCATTCTTAGTGTGCATTTCGATTGCCGATCACGACCATTGTGCCGCGCAGTGCCAACTCGTGAAAATGGTTCGTGCGCGCAAGATCTGGTACGGGAGTTATGACTGTTAAAAAATTCCAAAACGCTTACCGTAATTATCGAACTGCAAGCAGTGGGCTTCAAATATTGATTGCCCTGCAGAGGGACTTCGATTACGGGCATGGGCTTGTTTTTGGGAGTGAGGGAGAGGGACTATTATATTTCCAATGCGTTTTAGTGGGCTGGACTAATAAATTTTGAACAAGTTAATACACTATTTAGAAATCAGTATTAGTGCAGAATCAAACGTCGTATAAAAGAATAACAATATTCACAGGAATTCACTACATGTCTGCAATTGAATTGCTTGAAATTACAGAATCGTCGAAGGAACATAACCTTTCGCCTTTGCAAAAATGCGTTCAGTCGGAATCAGACTGGCTGCTAGTATTCAGTAGAACCAGTGCTGCCGGCCCAGAAAGCTTGTCGGCATCTACATCGACTTCCTCGCACTCTTTGTCATTATACCGGCACATGCCGCTGATCTGAAATTCCAGTTTTTCGTGCATTTTATTATAGCCCATGGCGGGCCTGCGTTAGATCGTCTGAATGCCTTATCAGAGAATGGCACGCATATCAATTAAAGAGTGACGAGCCTTATCGAAGAATGCCGGCTGAGACTGTATATTCCGCAAAGAACTTTTAATTCGATCGAAAACTTGGAAAATTGCAAGCGTAACGAACAATGCTTCTTTGTACATTAGAGTAAAATAGAGGGTGTTCTGGTGGTACGATTTCAGAGTTTAACCTTTAATTCGCAATGTTGTGGATCGTACTTTTAAATCCACATTTATTAAAATATAATTCTAACCTTTTAAAATATAATTGTTTAATTTGTAATTTTATTTGAACCGTTTAAGAGGTCATGTGCTAACCGAAAGGTGGCTAAATGAAGAGTTCACCTTGAAATAGTCTTAATTTGGATGTTGTACAAGTAATAAAATATAAACAGCCGTAAATAACCTAAAACAAAAATTTTGATTAACTTTGCCTATGTGCCTTGATTAGCGTAACTCATAGGTTTATATGTTTTGCTGTTCCTTTGCGTAACCGTTTCCAAACAGGCTGTGCACGCGGAGTCGTATCAGTGTACGTTAAACAACACATGTTTCAAAAGCATATCAACAGGGAATAACGAAACTAATTTTAGAAAATTTACAATCTAGCAGCTGTGGCTTCGGCCTTAGAGCTGGGCAACAGGAGCCGTTCATGGGCATATCGAACGCAATGAGCGCAATATGGAAAAGTTCAACATAAAAAATCCAAAAACGTCTGTAGTAATGCTATGTAATAGCTTGGAGCACTATGAATGGTACATTGGTACTCATCTAATTTTTGTTTGGCCACGCCCTATCGACCATGGCAGATGAAGTAATTTTTTAAACATACTAGCTTTAAAATATATTAGCGTTTTACAAAAGATTATATTTTTTTAAATTTATACCCGGAAAATGAGCCCTGGTAGGATTTTCCTCGTCGATTTCAAAATTTGCTGAAATCCTCGTCGGTGTGCAGAACAGTATAAGGCTCCCAGAACTGTTGCAACTTTGATAGCTTTATCTCGGCGCTGACAGTGAAACCCGAACTTCCGTATTCATCACGACTAGGGCAGTCGAACTCTGCCGCAGCCGCAGGTAAAATAAGAGCAAAATAATCGCCGCCATTGCAGAACTGTCAAAGACCTGGTTGATCATTTTTACACATTTCAACAATTTTTGGCCGGTTTGGCAGTACAGTTAACTAGTTCGCGATTCCGCGAAAAGTTTTCTGGAAGGAATGCTTAACTAATAATCATTGAACAGCACTCACCGACAAGAGTATTTGTACTTAGTGCACGAGAGTCTCACACACAAATTTATCAGCAGACCCATCACTGTACCTTTCACCGTGCCCATATTTGTATTTTCACAGCTTGCGTATAATTTCTCCTTTTTATTTTGTTCTACGTTTTACGTGTTAATACGAGCTGTTTTTCATATTTTATTTGGCGCATATTTAGTAAGGTAGGCCGGCTTTCCTATAAGAATTCCCTAAACTCAACATAAGGCTTACTGTAGATGTACTAAAAAATTCAGTTGAATACGTCGATGCAGAATGCGGTTAAAATATTATTAAATTTAGTATATTTTATCATACAAAACAGCACGATATGGGATGCCAGGTCAAGCAAGCAAGTTAACCATTAACGTTTTTACAAATTCTTCGGTCATTCTGACGGCGGCCTGTACCATCGGTAGCCGGTTCCCCCGATTGTGGCAGATCGTGAAATTGTTCTCCAGGAAGCAAGAGGAGCAACAGAAATCGGAGGTTGAAAATCGTAAGAATATGCCATATAATCTCGGACTCGGAATATGAAGATCATTCAGCAGTCAAAGTGATCTTGCCTCCATACCGTCTTCCATGCTGTCGGTATGGAATTCGACATTCTACGTTGGCGAATCCGATTACCAGCCATTTCCTGTGGCAAACTGCCCCCAAACATCAGCGACGACTGCGGAGTTGGCAACATAATTGGAATGGCATGGGAGCGGGACATCGTCCGACTGACCGGAAACGATGGCGATGCCATTTCCTCCAAGACACCTCGCTGTTGAACACGGCTGACGCGAACCATATTGGTAGAATCTGGCTGAGCGCACTCCCACTCTAAACGCCTTGCACTCCCATCCCGAAACACTGGCATCGCAAAAGGCAATTCCGACGGCACGGTGTTGACCACACAAGGAACACCTCCACTGCGGTCGTTTATCGAGCGAAAGAATAGCTCAGAGCGGCTGACTGTCGTGCCAGCACGATCATGCTAAAAAAATTCCATTTCCGACAAGAGAAAAACTTGTGTACGAATGATAGGGAATGGTTGTCCTACCACGGTCACACAACTGGGACACAATTGTTGGTCTGTATCGTTGCCGAACCAATTCGGTGATTCCAATGGTTCCAATGATTCCCGTGATTCCAGCGATGATGTCGATGAAGACGGCGTGCGCTAAACAGAATTGCATGATTACATTCAGTTTATTTCGATAAAACAGTAGGCCAGTACAGTAGCCGCTCGAAGATTTTGCACCACGGAGTCTGGTATATCATTATCGCAAACGGCGAGCACGCTGCCCGATGACCTGTGCAACGTGTGGTAGAGGCAGTGAGCGCAACTTTTTAGCGCGGTTACAGTATATATTATGGCCCAAAGCTGATGCGGGCAAGAAGATCTTCCACCGTGATAATATTGCAACCTTTACGTGGCGATTAACTTACCGTTAGACGTAAAGAATGCGCAGATTCTGCGGGCGCTACGTTGTCCAGCCGACCGGATTTTCTACGGATGGGTGGAGAGGTGCTCAATGGCTTTCCCTAAACGAAACCCGATTAAGATGCATTCGTTTCCTGATAATGAGCTTGCTAACAAATACTTCCCACCAAACATCCTTGCAAGATGTAAATTTTGGAACTAAGCGGGCAGTTGCATAATGGAACTTCAACTATTTCTCTAAAGCAGGCCTGTGAGTTCTGCTGAAAGCGTTTAGCTCCGCTAGTGCACATACCTGCACGAAGCAATGTTCGATTAGGGCTTCCGCACTGGGTCGCTCTGACGTTTTGGCCCGAAAACAGGTGTCCAGAAAATTTTCCGCGGTATCTACAAACCGTCCCTTCAGTCCGCTTTTGGCTTGCCAGTCACTTTTATCGTAGAACGGTTTGTCTCCGCGATTGAGTGCAATCCGTATCTCGAATTCCTGCAGGGGCCGTGGACCGGTTCCGGTTGTGGTTTCTTCGTAAAAGCGGGGCTCATGTCCATACAGCATCTCCAAGACTACACAGGCCACCCCCCAAATATCAGCCCGTGTTCCCGGCCGACCGTGTGCCGGATTGAAATTTTCAGGTGCCATGTACCGGATGGTGCCGGCGCCCGGGAAAATTTCTTGGCTGCCGGTGACGGACCGCGCCAGCTGCACGATTAAACCAAAATCAGCGATCTTTGGTGTACCGTCGACGGTGAGTAAGATATTGGCAGCCTTCAGGTCACGATGGGCGATACGTTTTCCATGCAGATATCGTAGACCCTTAAGGACTCCCTTCAAATCCTCACGCAGTTCCGATTTTTTATGGCGCAGCTCTGCTGGGTCCCGGTATTTGTCCTGCAAGGTTCCGCCTAAGACAGCAGACATTCGTGGTAAATATACCCATTGTGCATCTGTCTTAAATGATTCTGATATGGCAGCCAGCATTCTCACTGCGGCAACAATCAGCTGCTTTAGGAAAGCCTTTCCCAGATTTTATTATCAATAATGTGATGCTAAAGCGATGGCACATTCGTATCAAAAAATGAGAAAACTAGACCGTTTATTCCTTCCTGTTGACAGGGTAAAATCAGTAGATAGGCTGTAGTCACCGTTTGTTGATGATTGTACTCACGGTGGTTTTTTAAAGTGTTAAGTTTTTTTAATATGTTTTCAGGTTGTCGACAGTGTCTAGGGTCATCAGGTGTTGCCCTCGCTCGTACCGCTCATACAGGTTGCCCTCGCTGGCGTCTGCTAGGAGCTGCGCCGGTATGCACCGGTAGTCATTTAGACAGCCTATAATCACTAGCTTGACGCAATCGGTGTAAACCATCCGGCAATTTCTACAATGAGTCACAGTAGCGACTACCGTGTGTCTACAGTTGTCCACCGCTATCTACAGTGGTGCAGCTACCCGGAAATAAAATCTGTAGCACAAATCTGCCCTCATTTTTCAAAAACATTAAATTATACGTTTCCGAGGGAGCTATTATGTCTCGGTGCGCTTTTTGCGGGGGCGCACTCATTACGGGGAAGCTACAAATTCGATAATTATTGTAGATGATAACGTTGCAGAAAACTGATGTCCTAAGTTTAGTTAGTTACACTACGTCTCAACGAGCTAATGCCAGCAAATTTGCGTATCGGTTTTTTTTTTAAATGCGGGCAAAATCGTAGTTAGCGTCAGAAGAATCTAAACTACCACTGAATAACTTCCTACCCGGGCCATATTCCATCAGGATGAGAAATTGCGGTGCTTTCTCCAGAATGATGATATCCATATGCAGATATTTCAGTAGATTTTTATTCTTTGGGTCCGTGCTTAGTTGTAGGATAGTTTTAAATTCTTCGATCCAGCGTTTTAGATCTTCATCTACATGGTCCTTTCGCAATGGTATTAGCTTAGCGGCATACTGTTGACCGGAATCATCCTGGGCTAGGAAAACGCCGCTGCACATTCCTCCTTGGCCAATTTTTTCTTGTATAGTATACGGGAAAGATGGCTGATAATTGGCAATGCCGAAACTCTCGACTAATTCGGAGCAGACGGCGCCATCAAGCTTCTCGGTATCCATTTCCGGTCTATATAACTAATTAAATATACTTGACCGATAGCCTGGAGTTAAAGTAAACAGTATAAGAAACCTTTATAAGCCAAAATCTTTTTGCTCAAATAGAAGAGAATCCATTATTGTACGATGACTACGATCAGACGACAGTAAAACAGTGCACACGGCGCACCATTGAACTTTTAAGCTTCCCAACGAGCCGGTGACTACCATGTTAATGCGTAATTCATCCGTTTTAGTACTATCTTGGTCATAACTAAAAGCACGTCCGTGATTCATTTTTTTTGTATTTCGTCATACCTTTCTGTCCCTCGCTAGAGCCATCTGTTGACTGACTTGCATGGCCACGCACTCGTTACTCAGCCCGATATATAGATATAAGTACAACACTTTGAAGTAGGTCAAACCCCTTCAGGCGCAACGTTTTATGATAAGGCGCTATAAGGAACCACGTGTCGCGAACAGGCTAGCTGCGCCTCCAGGAAAACGCACCATTTCTTTCACATTGTTCTGTTCTTGATTCAATCTGCGATTAAGCTTGCCGTAAACTTTTATTATTACCTTTGACCGTTACGTAAGGCCGGCGGAAACCAGTCACTCACTCATCATAGCCGTTTAAGTAGTTCTATTAAGATTGGCGTGAAGTTTGTACATTACTGTATATGGTGGTACTCCGTGAGCTGCCGCACCCTATGCGACTCATCTTTTAAATGGTTGCGATTTAGAGCGATACCGACGTCGTACCATCTGAATTTTGTGCCATGTGCTTGATTCAGCTTCATGATAATTAGTCCTCTGTACTTTGAAATGCGGCAATTCTGAGGCGTGGCGTGTAATCAGTGCTGTACTTGTATTTACACAAATTTATGAGCCAGAAAAATGCCGTGATGCGCAGAATATCCGACAGCTTTTTTAACTTTAAAAAAGCTGCGCATTATAGTTTATTGCTAAGGTCGTTTTGGTAGCTCCCAAACCCGTGCAAATAATATATATGCAGTATATTATGCGTATTAGTACAGTATCTGTTAATATTATACGTGATGTTTAAGTGGTGTGCGGTAATATATTTAGTGCGACAGAAAAGACTCAACTTGGTTTTGCTGTAATCGAAAACTTTGGTGCAAAGTTAAATACCATTTGTCAATGCAGAACTTGAACCATTTGTCAATGAAAGACAATCCGATCCAGATTATGCGACCACTTCCAAAGCAAAATATGTGGTAAAAATCTCCATATTATAACCTGCGATAATTCGAGCCGCATTTGGGGTCGTATGCCACTATATTTTTTTATTTTAGTGTCATAATGCATTTTTAAACTGATTTATTTCTCCATTCCTTCGTACATAATTTTACTGTGTAAGGTTAAAGGTGCAGCTTTTGTCTCATTGTCAGTTCATCTCCTGCATAAATGGCGAAGCGTCTAATCATATTTGTGCAACGAAAATAGAAAATGTTTACGTTTCTATAACGCAAAAAAAAGGATTTATATATTATTTTGCGAATAAAATCTGTAGCAAACAGCTTTTTCTGTAAAGGTTGGACGCGTCGCACAAATTAGAAGGCTCCACTGTGTCGCCGGGAAACCACTCCTCCATTTCCGTTAGATTGAGCGTGTTAGTCAAGTAGTACGTATCACGAAATTAACCATCCCGATCAATTTATCATGTCGCCGATCCCAAGAAGCAGTCAGTCTGGGCCTTAAAAGTCCTTCAGTGGACACTCCTTAACCGGCTCATCCTTGACCGCTGCTTCTTCAACGGATAAGAAATTTTTATCATTGAAGTACTCATACTCCTGCAAATCCTGAACGACGTCACCCTTGGAGTTGGATGAATCCAGCCGCCAAACAAAGCTGTCCTTACCAAGCGGTATAATTTCCAGTTTCATTATCTGGGAGCTAGCCGATTTGCTCTCCTTCAACCGGCACTGTTGCCCGCACGATACGTGCTCCTCCCGCAGCTTCTTCCCTGCCATCCAGTACTCGTCTTGCTCGTCAGGTGTCGCTTTGCCAGTATCGTAGAATTTTGACTTGAAGAATGACTGATATGGTTGTTTCATGTCTAACGATTTCTGCGAGTACAGGGCTCGCAGGAAAGCGTGCATCCAGATATGCAAGTACCCTTTGAACGCCACAATTCCGGGAGTCGTTGCACTGAAGATTTCGATGACAGCACTATCGTCGGCGCTGGTACGTATCCCGACGTCCGCCAACGTCAAGCTTTCCTTCGCGTCACCATGATCGCGGTGGAGTTCATTGGCATATCTCCAACACAACAGAAAATCCCCGCCCATGTTTCTGTACAAGGAGCTCAAAATACCGAGGATCTGCTGAGCATCGGCATCTAAAGAACACTGTTCCAGAAATTCCAATGGAAGACGTTCGCGACCAACTTCCGCTTTGCCGATTTCTTTGTGGCACTACACCCATTCGCACAGCCAAAACGGCCGATGATTACTGTACACCTCTTGAAATTCTGCAAAAAGAGTTACGTATGAACAAAGTACTCGTATGGTATTGTAAAAGTTTGATTTTTCAGTGCTTGGAAAAAGATATCTGAACGAATCTTTGCAGTCAGAACACTGTGCTCTATGCCTCTGTGAAAAACGGGTATTGGTGCACACATAGTGAATCAGCGGTAACAGAAGTGACAGACCAATGTTCCCTGCCAATAAACAGAAGAACCACGCAGACCGGGGATACAGAATATGGAAGATGTCCCTTTTTCGGTACTGCATTCCGATCGGCTGATCATAGTGCACCACCACCTGCTGATGGTGATGGCCACCACCTGTAGAATGGTCGCCAGGAGGCATCCCATCGTGGTCATCGTCGTGGTCACCGGCACCAAGAGGAAGTAGCCCAGCGTGGTTGGCAGCTGATTTGTAAACGCACAAATCTGACTGGATAACTTCTCTTTCACGAAGACCGTTGGTTTCTGATATGACTGTTGAATCGAGCCAATGAAGAACCCGGTGATAACAGCGCAGTGAATACCGGTGACCAGTAGTGCAGCGATCCAGTTGTACCCTGTCAGGGGAATCATTACCCGATAGCGACACATGATATAAAAAAAATTTGTGAAACTTCCACATATACTGACAATGCGTGGCTCAGTGGCTGTAAAAGTTTGTGGGCAAACAGTAAAACTGACACTGCTTTTCTGAATAAACTCAACTGTTAAACACGCACTGGCCGGGCTGCTTTGCGGAAAACGGGAAATATTTGGCGATGGAGAAGAAAGATGACAGAGCGGTGAGCCAAAAACGGCTAAGCGGAAGTAAGCCGATACCGAGTAACAGCAAAATGATGGTAAACTGCAGACTGGATTCGTATTTGATTTCGGTTAGTTGGGCTTTCTCCAGCTGCATGTCTTGGAATTCAATATCTTTGTCGTAGGAATAGATCTTAACGGACTGTGGAGAGTTTCTCCAAGCGTGTCCAAATCTGAAGCATCTGTTGCACAGAACAAAATAAAATACATTCTACAGTTGTGAAGAAATATCAAAAAAGATTGGATAGAAAAGCTTCGGTTTTCGATCCGCTTTTAGTTTCATAAGTTACGTAACAACCTACCGGTGAACAAACGAGATGGGAAATATATTCGTATTAAAGACATTGCAAATCAGTGGTGATTCCATAACGTCCACTTTTTGTCCGGCTTCCGTCGCCAACCAGCCAGCCAGCTCCAGCCAGCCATTTAATCCAGCTCTTCCGACTGGATTAAATTCTGCCGCGCTAAGCGCATATTCCAGGATATAGCTCTTGCGGCCTGCTTGGGTTGAGCAAAGCACCGTTTCACTAGCGAACACCGCGCTAATAAGCAATAGCTAAGGAACGGCGATGCCACATTCATTGTTCCACCATAGTTTACGATGAAATCGATATCACTGCCGACATCCCACAGCGTCAAGAAGCCGGTGCCCAGAGCGAAGGGAATCAGCAGGCTGAACCATTGCCAAAAAGCGGACTGTTTATGGTGGGGCTCGTGTATACCGAGGAGAGAGTTAACGATGGCGCCCATTTCAATCTGCTACAACTCAAAGAAGCAAGCAACTCAAAGAAGCAGAAGCAAGCGAATATCCACGAATCATGTACAGTACAACCAAATTCCTTCACCACGGTGTAATGTACGCTACCAAAGCATGGTGATTGCAAAAATAATTTTTGATACATCGGTTTAGTTATGCGAGATTGGACGCCGTCATCATCTCCATAAAGAACCGGAAATAATGCCGCACTTTTGCAAATATGGTGTGCATGCAACCACCGACAAACATAGAAGTATGTACAATGTATATAACATGGTCATGGACACAGCCACTTTCTGAATGTACAGTAGTATGTGGAACAAAACGTACATGTATAATGTATAAATGTACGTACGTACGTAGATTGTATATGTATAAATTACCGAATCTGGCTAATAATTATGTTTAAGTCGGCAGTATTGTACTGAAATAACTGAATTACGATGCAACTAATGAGCGCATACGCGCGCAGTCACGGTATATTAAATGAAATAAAGGATGAATGTCTTCGGCATAACATCTGTTTAAATCGGTGACTAACTGCGCAAACAGGAAACCGTTCGACGCAATGTGACGCATCGTCGAAGGTGTTCCCAGTCACTGTTTTTTACATTTCACCGTCGCGTTGATGGCGTCTATTGTCTGTCAACTGCTTATAAACTGTTTTTAGCTGCTGATAAAGCATTTTAATTTACCAGTAAAATATTTACTATAAAGTTAGTAAAATTTCAATAAATTATTTCATTATAACTGATAATTTATACTATTAAATTACTCTTGAAATTAGGTATTATAACAGTTAAGAGCATGACTTTTTGTCAGGTCGGGTGTTGTCGAAAACCGTTATAATTTTGCTATACATGCCAAACTAATTGATTTTTATGGCGGAATCATCATGAATTTATTTACGCCGTTTAAATGCACACCATGTAAAGATCCCCACGGCAAAAACCAAAACAAAATAGCGTATTTATTGGAATACTCGAATCTTCTGAAAGACTGAAACTGAAAACTGTAACTTACATTGCAGACTTTCCCTGCCACTACCGACAGACAAAAGATTCGCCCTCGCGATATTAACTTAATTGAAGAAGCTTGCGGTAATTGCGTAGTTAAAATGCTAACTTACGAATGTCACTCCTTTTTTTGAAAAATTATTTGCCGCATACAGTGTTAAAAATTTCGCCAGTCGGATTTACAGCGGACGCCATAGACACGGTTTCACTGTGCCATCGGCCTAAGGACCAATATTTTAGCGGGCAGGACCAACAACAGACCAAAACAAGCCGGTAAGTCTCAGATCGGTCGTGCGGTATATGAAACCGGCATTTCCACAAAGCTCAGCTTGTGTCTGTACTGCATGTACATTAGTGCATGCAGTACAGACACAAGCAATACATGTACATTAGTACATGCAGTACAGACACAAGCTGAGCTTTGCTTGTTTAGCGTAGAGTAGTGTAGTCTGCGATGGTGACTACTGACTACACTGCTGTAGAAAATACTGTCTGCGTTTTATAAATAAGAGACAATTCGCTTTGACCGCATTTACGATGTGCCGTCTATATTTTTGTCTCTTCCTTTATGGCGATGTTGCTCTGGTTGTAGTAGCATAGGGTAAAGTTAGCAAGTAACACAGACGGGTTATTCATTGTAATAGCCAACGAAAAGATTCATCTGGGTAACGAGAGTTTCTCAGTGGTCTTGCACATTTACCCGGGAATTGTATTAGCGCAAAACACGTTTCCGAGACGACGTTTACAGCTCTTGTGAAACACAAGTGTAGTGAGGTTATAAACGCAACATTGACATCTGACGTGGACAAAGTCCAATGAACGTACAGCATTTTCGTGACCTTGGTTCAGCACAGTCATCTCATCCAAAGGCGCGAGATTGTAGTGAGCAGTACGTTTGCGGTGGGCTGCCATGCATGTTAAAGTTAATCGAGACCAGCCAGCAGCCTCTAACTACCAATCGTCCATCGACAGCGACCATACCAGCCGCTTGTTAAAGAATTTTACAAGTTACCGATTCATGTTATGTTGTCGATTGGAGCAAGGTAAGTTTTCCGTAAAATTCTAATATTATAAGCTGTGGTCTGCGGGCATCTGTTTTATGTGCCACTTGGTCGAACATCACGAATTCACCAAAAGCTGATACCAGCTGACAATAACAGTTCATTTCCACCATCTGCGTTTCACAAAATTTGACTAGAGAAATCACAGCTGGTTTCACAAGCACTACGAACTTGCCCTTTACGAAAACGGTCGCCGCGCATCAGCTGGTAATTCACACTAATTGCATATATATATTAGACCACTTACTATCAGTGACGCTAAACGTAGCATGTACAAAAATTCAGTACTTTTTGGCATGTTTTCGTCGAAGGCATTAAGTTGTAATTAAGGGCGTAAACGTGTGGCAGCGGCCTACAGCCTTAACCGTTTGGAATTTTTCAAAACGGATTGCACATTCTATTGTTGGTTTTCTATGCTCTCCATGCTCGTTATCGGTTTGATACGAAATTATGATTTTGAATAACTCGAATTACGGATATGAGTAAGCTTTATATAAGCCGTAGCTGCCACCGGAGTGGGTGCGGCTGTAGGGTGCAGACAGGCTGTCTAGCGCGCTGCCTCCCTGGCCTCTATGTCTACATGCCCGATTCAAACCACCTTACTACTACTTTACTCGACTCAGATGTTTTTTGGAATTTCAAAAAACAAATTGCAGATTCAGAATCAGCGTAAAATTTTGCTATGGCTTTCTGTCTGTAAAAAGTTTGTAGCCCTTATGGATCGTCAGAATATCACTGCCACACGTTTTCAAACTTGATGGTCGTTTCGCCCATTGTATTTCTTTTGTCTTTCAAGAAATGTTAATGAGGTGTGACGGCAAAAAAAGTACTGAATTTTCCTACAATGTCTTGCGCTACCAGAGAAATCCTTTATACCGTGGTGCAAGAATCGCGAATGACCGAGCAAGTTTCCACGTTACGTTGTGCGCTTCCTTTCCCATTCTAGCAATAGCTTTGAGATTATTATTTTTTTTTAAATAGCAAACTGCAGATATACTGACGACGCCAGTACTCACTAACAACATTTGAACTTTTATATTTTACTGGACAAAGTACATCAAAATATCTAAAAGCGGATAGGACTTGTTTTGGCAGAACTAGAATAATTGTGCAGTTCTAACATTGTTTAAAGTTGATTGATGTACTTATTGGTTTGTGTGCATTTTTCACTTTGGTCTTAATTCTCGACTGCCTGAACGGGGTATGTGCGGTTGAAAATTAAACCTGCTTTTGAAGGATAAGACAAGTTTAAGGTTAGCGAGTTGTCGATGTTTCCACTATAATTATAATATCGGAAAGTTACTCATGCTGGCCAATTTTACCAGCAATTCAGAAAAAATAATCGTCGGTTATAAATGTCGCAAAACTTGTCGATCATTCATTTCCCATTTACCAATCATTATTTCATAATTCGTTAGGAAAACATTGCTGGTCAGCTAAAAAGCATCACCAATTTGAAATAAAGTAATGTAGTCGTCAGCAAAATATCGAAGTGACAAAACATAGCACATATTTTCTTATAATAACTGAATTGATTACAATGAAAACTGACAGCTGCACAGCTTGCTAAATGTTATGAAAATTGTGTAATACAAAAAATGTATTATGATGTATTATGCCAAATATGTTATGAAATGTTAACTGCCAACCATATTCCCTCCACAGAAACTGGGTAACAAAACGCTACAGTTATTCCTTTGTAGCATTTTACGTCGGGGTTGGAAACTTGATGGCAGCTCCATGTCATTTCGCAGCCGTAAGGCGTGATGCTGTTACCTATTTCCACGGTCGCTTAAATTTGTTCCATGCGCGCTGCAGGAAACCTCCCTCAGACGACGGCTGCTGACGCGGCACTTGCATATGGCGAGGACGATCCACTTTACGCGGAATAATATATGCTGTTTCCATGTAGCTGGCGCGCTGGCGTTTAGCCTGCTGTTCCATCCATTCCATATTGCGGAACATCGGCCCGCTAGTCGGCAGCGCATGCAGCCGCTCAATGTCCTCCTGCACCGACATCGTAGTGAATTCCATGGCCGTCCCACCTGCGCTGTTGCAAGCCTCCTCCAGTACAATGCGCTCGTTAGTATAGCACTGCAGCATCTCTTTGCACGCCTCCAGCGTCTGGCGGTCGCAACCGGCTGCCACCTTCTGTTGTTCCTCATTAATCAGCTGCCGCAGATATTCGTCGAGCGCATCATTGTACACCGACATGGCGTTGACCTTCAGGAAATGGGCGAATTTCGATGCGATGCTGGTGATGATGTCCAGCTCGTTCTGCAGCGCTTCCTCCTCGGCTTTGCATTGGTGAATGACCGCTTTCGCTGCTAATATGTGTCCGTTCTTCTGCTGCAGCAGACTGTTAATGGTTTGTTCGGCGAAAAGAACGGACACAACACGGCAATCATATTTGACAGACTTATGCAGCCTGTAATTACATCCACAGTTCTTGCATTGACCATCGTCGCCGATTGCGCTGCAGCTCAAGAGAGCTTCGAGTTCGGGAGTGTCTTCGGGAACGCCTTTCAAGAAACAATGAGAATGGCACCAGGTTTTATACTTGGCCCGCTCCTTTCCAGAGATATCTTTCCAGAGTTCCATGCAGCTCGCAGCTGTACCCACCGTGCGCTGGGTAGGTGTCAGTACTGCAGCACCGTGTCGCGGCATGTCGCGCTAATATACTGTGTCGCTGTTGTCGCGGCGTGTTTCTAGCCGTATCTGGGTAGATGCCAGTACTGCAGCACCGTGTCGCGGCATGTCGCAATAGTTTTCTTTGTCGCTGTTGTCGCGGCGACTTCCCATCCGTAGCTTAGTTTGGGACTGGGACTGCAGTGCCTGTCGTCGCTTATTTACAGCTGCACTATGTTAGGGTCTAGCATCGTATATCGGCGTCGCGGATTATTTGTGAGTTTGCTGCCGCGACTGCGACGCAACACAAGTTTGGTACCGATTGAGCCAGTCCTACCTAATTTTCCCTTGCAAGACATACGTAAACGGCGAGCGGCAATTAGCGATGCCAAAACGCTGCACCAATTCATTGCGGACTTCCCCATCTTTTCCTTGCAACGAACTTACCGACATGATTTTTCGTATTAAATACACGATAAAAACGCTGCATTACGTGAACAAAATTGTTCGGATTTACTTCGTGTTCTAGATGAACGATTGAAAGATACAATTTTCCACGGCAAAATTGCATGCTTCTGACTGGTAATAAAAGAGCATAACAAAGCGTATTTTGACAGCTGCTGCGGCCAAACTGGATTTAACCGAGTGCGCTTCCTGCGGCATTAGTCATACGCGTGGAGCAGCCGGATGTGAATAGCTGGTAACTTTGCATACGTTTTAAAATTTTGATCGAACGAGAAATGCGCATACTGCCGGCATTGCTCGCCGTACCTTAACCGTGAAACCGTTCCCTTCTGAGTAACGGAACAAACTTTGTGCACAGTTATTATTATAGCGCAGAATATTATCAGCACAAGTGTTCATCGTTCATTTAAGCGTACAGTTACACTCCGCAGTTTATCGTTACGCAGCATTCGCTTGATATATTTAGCTGAAAAATGGCGTATCTTATTTTACGTAAATGTTGTATACTGCGGTAATTATTCAGAACTTTTTTTATTTCAAAGTTTGCGCATAAAATTCAGTAAAACGGATGTTTGGATTACTGAAGTAAGTCGAATGGAAAATGGATGAGAGCGAGCGAAATTGCGCCAAACTCACTGCGATCCTGGGAATCGACGAATTTAAGCCACCGTCGCAATTTAGGCTGTACGATTTACTAGGTCCCGGAACCCAAGGGATCGGCGTGTTCAAAGCGCAAGATACGGCCACGGGGAAAAAGTACGCGGCCAAGGTCTTCCAGATTCGCCGTGAATTCGTCGGTTACGCAAAAAAAGCCAACACCGTTTCAGACGACAGCACGGTGTTGGCGTATGTCCGGGAATTCCGAGCCATCAAGGGATTTAGGCACGCCAACATCGTGAGATATTACTTCCTGGATGTCAGTGTTGATAAATTCCTAGACAATTATCAGCTGCGCGTTTTCATGGAACGCTGTACCGGTAATGAATAATTACTTAGCGTAAACACAAATATAGTAGCCGACAGATTCGTTTTTGGTTTTCGTCATAGAAAATTACTCACCATATTATTTTACATGGGCAAATTTCAACTGTATTACCTTTGGGCTGTGCTCCTTAGCAGATGTTTATTATTCAGTACGCTTTCTTTTTTTTTGTAATTAGTGAATATACGTTCATAACCGCACGTCTGTGTAGGGTACCTTGTTCTGGCATGACCTTTCTTACAGTTAGGAAATTTAATTTTGTTGCTATCTGAAGATAGCTACCATTTTTATGTGGTAAAATAATGGCGGGAAAATTGCTTTGTTAAGGTTCTTTTCGGGATTTCGTACCAAAAACGTTTCTAATGCAAGAAATGCACCAAAACAATAATAACAGTTTTCAGTTTTAAGTTTTTGGCTAGGTGATACACTAGAACGGGATATGGGAAAAGTCTACCAAACGTACAAAGCCGGTTATAAATCTGCCGACGTTCATCGCCATTTTCTCGACCTACTTTCTGGTCTTGACTGTCTCCATCAGCGTCAAATAGTCCACCGCGATCTGCGCCCGGAGAATCTCATTTTGCCGAGCCCGAAAAAAAAACCCTGAAGATTGCCGATTATAGCGCCGCAGTGATGCTCAACGGTTTCATCACCGAGCCCGGCGAAGTGACCACTCATGGAGGGCCGCCGTGGCATTTCAAAGCTCCGGAAGTGGCCAATCCCGCGAAGTTCGGCAACAGCGGACGCCGGACCGATGTGTGGAGTATGGCGTGCATTCTAATTTTCATGCTTCAGGGGAAAGTGCCGGTCTTTCGGTACACTTCCGGAAGGAAGATAATTGACGCGGAATCCAATGCGGATGTCCAGAAGGCGTTGGAGAAAGGCGTAGCGCCGTACTTTGACGGGGATTTTCAGCGGAGAGCAAGTTATGGCGACGAAGGAGCGTTTCTGAATCTGGCGAGAGACTTGCTGAAGCGGTGTCTCGTGGCGCACAATAAAAACCGGCCGTACATTGATGCCGTGCGTGACCATTCCTTTATCAGTTGTAAGTCATCAACGGCTGGTGATTGTGTCGGAAGTTATTGATAACAACTATATTGCAGATAAACCGAAAAACCACGGGAGCTGGTTCTAATTCTCGCTTTTTATGCTGATGAGGTTCCGCGCCTGGCACATTTCTGCGTTAATAACTGACTGATTGTCGGCGCATTTTTTGGGTCTGAATTATTTGTAGAGCGCATTTGAAAAGTAGCACAATTTAGTGATGTCACTGTGATGCATTGTGGCTTGTTTCAAAAGAGCGAAAAAATTTTCTGGCCCTTCTTTCCAGCGGAAGCAATAGAAGAGCGATATCTGAGCGCCCAATCGTCTTTGCAAGTTTGCATGCGACGGGAGCGGTCATTTTAGCTAATACGAGGAGCTGCGCTTCCAAACCCCCCGCCCGGTTGCTGGGCGCCGCTTTTAACTTTATTCTAGCAACCGGGGTATTTCTTTGCGAAGACCAATCGTCCGTTATAAAGTTAATTTGAACCGCGCCAGTGTTTAACATTTCTCCTTTCCAAATTCGAAAAGTGTACCTAACAGTAAATTGCTAGACCGAAGCGCAGCTTATGATTCGGGGTTGCCGTTGGAATAGAGCTGTTGCGGTCCTGTGCTTTCGTAAATTATGGAAACGCAACTCTGCGGAAACATTGTTTAAATAAGTACCACAAATGCTTTGATCATGAATCAATACGATGATTAGGTGTACATCGAACAAGATACAGTAGAGGTGTTTTCCATAAAGAATAATGATAATTAAGCATTGCGCAGTGCTTACATTCGCATTGTCGTCTTCGCAACAATTGCCGGCTTCGCTGACATCAGTTGACTCCAAGTGAGCCTATCTCCTCTCTTGTAATAATAATCGAAATTCAAAGAAATTCCCAAAAGTTGGATTCCAACACTTTGTAGCTCTTTAAAAAATCATTTAAAAATGAGTTTGTACGCAAAATTGATAGGACTTGATGGTATCTGAACAACAAAGTGACGGCCGGCTCCACGCATTTATCGAGCGATATACAGCTTGTAACAACAGCAACAACTACCATAAAAAATACGTAGTTAAATTTCTAGCAGTTTCCAGTAAATCATGTATAATTTGTCATTATTATTTGTGTGTGTACAATGTTCAAGCAGGCGATGCTCGTTTGTTTGAATATACTCTATAATAATTAATAATAATTATTGTGAAAAAAGGTGAGGTAACCACTCCGTTCAAAAGCTGTCGACTGTCACGGAGTTTACAACGTTCTGCACCACTTTTCGCTCAATACACTTCCTTTCGCTGGCACTATTTTGTGTATCATTCCATCATTTCTGTGTAAGTTGCACCAGTTTTACATTTTTTGCAAAGTTTTACAGGGGAATTTTTTGCAAAGTTTTACAGTTTGTGAAAACAGGAGTACCTAAATCTTGGTATTTAGGTAGATGAACAAAAAATTAAAAAAAAAGCATTTTGTGCGCTAATTACTGGCGAGAGCCACTCTCCGATTAAATTGCACATACTTATATCAGGAGATCTAAAAGCTAATTCAGTTGTAAACTTATGACGTGAGAACCTTTCTGGATGGCGTTGAAAGCGCTACGATTCAATTGGCAACTGAAAAATAAATGTAAAGGTCCTGCACCACCTGCGAAAATGTGAAGAAAACAGCAGTTACGATTGATCGTGGGTTTATGCTTTTTGCGAGAATGAATTTTCTTATATGTGCATTAAAATAGCTTGCTGCGGATGCACTATACAACATGTACATTCTATAGGGGAACAAACAAGTCTACTCGGCCCGTTTCCCTGTACTGCTGCCGTCACCCGCCCGGAGTGTGACGTTACGGCAATACATACGGTTAAATCAGGCGCGGTACATAAGCTCCATGTATAGCCACAACGTAATATACCAGCCGGCTGACATCAAAAGTACAAGGGACGGGTTCGGCGAGACTCATTTTTCCCCCTATATAATGCATGCAAACTGCTGATTCCTGTAGTGAACAACATTGCTTACGTGCTTGGCAAACCGGTATGCACGGAAATACGTAATAAAGGCCAACGCTATGCGCAGGAGTTTTTTGTTTTAAAGAAAAGTCTGTACGCGAAAATTTGCAACTGAAAAAGTAGTACAAATTCAAATTGCAGTGCATTTGCGAGTTTTAGTATTTAGCATGTACATTATTTGGATAAGTGCATGTAAGGGAAATGTTTGGAAGTACTGTGCACCGCACGTTGGTCAGTACAGCACCTATTCTAAGTGCTCTTGTGTCAAAAGCAATCCAGTATGCCGTCAAATCGTGTTTAAAATTCAGCACAGTGCTGCACAGTGTGCATCCATCCACATATACCTAATTCCGTGAATAGATGACAAGTCAAAACTTTATGTAAAGTGCTGCCAGTATTTTATACTTGCCATATGCCGTGAATCCGTGAATCGGTAAAAAGTCAGTACTTTAATTATGTAAATTACTGCCAGTACTTTGTACTTCCCAGATGCCGTGAATCCGTGAATCGATGAAAAGTCAATACTTTATGTAAAGTACTGCCACTACTTATGAAAGTACTACCAGTACTTCATACTTCCCACATGCCGTTAATCCGTGAACCGGCGAAAAATCTAACAGTACTTACTTTATGTAAAGTACTGCCAGTACTGTCAAGGAAGATTGAGTGGAGCAGCACTACGGACTAGACGCCATAGAAAATGCATTCCTCTTACGCAGGACTGTACGCCATAGGAAAAAATTAACATGGAAACCGCCCATGTGAATGGCGCAGGTGGCGGTTACCATATCGGCTGCCAACCGCCACAGCCGACAGCTACCAACTATCGCATTTTGCACAGCAGACTCCTATGCATTTCTCGCTAACGGCTACTGTGCAAATTGAGTGGCTTCTCTTTGTCTTCTGAACCGAGCCGGTTAGCATTAGTCAGATTTGGTATAAAATAGCTTGCATGATGCATTGTTAATTATCTCAGTTTTGTATTGCTACTAATTATACTTGCATACTCGTATTCATTTTAGTATACTCGCACGTCAGTGTGTTTTGTTTACCTGTACTTGTGTTCTGCTTTATGTACTGCATAATGTTTCGCACTCCCGTATACACCGCTATCAACATGTACGCCTACCTGTGGGACCAGCCTGACGACGCAAAGACCATCATCCTGGATAAATTACCTATTGCTGATTTCCGCGACGTACCGCTCCATCGCTTCTGGAACCTGCAGTGTCTGTCTGCGAATGCCTGTGGATTGTATTCTCTGCTTGGTTTGTCCACGTTGCCCAACTTGACCTATCTGCAGCTAAACGACAACCAGCTGGGATTCTAGGCGGAGAACCCCCGTTTTGATGTCCTGGCGAAGGCGACACCCAACCTGAAGCGCCTAACCTTGGCCAACAATGGCATCAGCAGCGTGGATTTCTTGGAGCCACTGAAAAATCTGCCAGCACTCCTCACCGTGGATTTGTACTGAAACAGTGTGAACCGCACTCACTTCCGGCACCTGATTAGCAGCATTTTCCAAGTCATGCGAATGAGCGGAGACGATGGGGACATGGAAAGCTAAAGCGACGACGACATGAACGGTGAGAAAGCTCTGCTGTTAGTCTCATTACTTGTTTCGGTGATTTCGTGTTATCAGAATTTTACTTAGACAATTTCATGTATATGGAGCCCGAGTCAGACCGTGACGAGGAGGAGGAGAATGATGACGCGTCGATGGCGGGATCAGGTAACTCATCTTAATACTGTTATGCTTGTTTTTCCTTGATAATTTTTACAAATCGCAGAGAATTTGGGAATTTTTACAAATCGCAGCTGGTTGTTGTCCGATGATGATGATGATGACGTGGATCACATCTCCGACTTGGCTCCGGGATCGGATGTGAATGACGACGATCACTCGGATGACGACAGCGACCACCAGGATGAAGATGACGACGTCCTCATGTTAAATTAGTATGCATGTCTGCACTGCTGTATTTTTCCTTTTTTCTGTTGTTAACCCCCACGGGAACCCCCACGGTAGCATATTACTGTTAGGATGCGATGCATGTTTTTGTTTTCATTTTTAACTTCCGTGTTATTGATGCATTGGCGAACAATTTAAGCAACAACGACGAGGAAGAAAATAACACCGAAGCTACTGATAACGAGTCAGATAACACCGAGCCTGAATCTGGTGGTAGTCGTAGCTGCCGTTCAATAAAGAAGAAACTCTTTAAGCCGCGACTTCCCGCAAAGAAAAAGAAAGGGTATGACAAATATTACACTGACCCAGTGAATCTGGATAACAGCAAAACCCAACCGACTAAAATGAGTGACTTATTCTCGCGGAAAAATTGCCGTTTGTAGTCCAAACCAAATTGCCGTTTGTTGATTCCGAAGTCTGTAAGTCCATGCACACAGTCGGCGCTTCGTACGGACGGTCAGTATTACAGCCGGAGTCAAAAACGTAGGAACATCCACAACTCTTTTCAACAAAGTACATCAGTACGTTTACTGTATTACATACTGTATAGCGTCGAATCGATATCGATTCACTTGATCAATAATTATTAAAATGTATGGGTACAGAGTGAACGAAGAAATAGCCAGCGAAAATCCTCGTCTTTCTCATGGATAGCACACAGTGCGTTCCAATCTCAGAAGATCAGACTAGACGAAATTTTGTCTGCAATATGGCGGAAGCACGTATTCGGTGAACATTGTGAAATGATAACGATTACTTTAAATAATCCAGTGGATGAGTGTGATTCAGAGCCCAGAAGGATTTGGATACATCATGGATCAACTATATGGGGGTTTACGGGGACGTTTTTACGACAGAACTACTTTCGAAGATGGAGAATTATGATAGAGTGGTGGAACACAGTCTTATTACAATCGTTAACGGTATGATACATAGTTTTACGCTGATTTAATTCATCCGATTTCAGCTAATTATATACGATTATCCTCCTTCCAGTACAATACTTGATTGTTGTTTCTGTTGCCGAAAATTTGTTGTGTTGATTTCCGACTAAAGTGCTGTCTTTCATATAGTGCAGGAAATCCACTAAAAGCACCAGATGAAGCAGCGCTACTTCAAGAGGAGCCCTTGTGTACCGCGCTCTCGAATAGCGTACGACAAGGTACCCATCTAACCCAGCCAAAGTATTTTGTCGACCTTGAGTTTCCATGTCCGGGACATCACTATGAAATTTGTGCTGCTGTGGACCGAGCATGGTTTTGTGGCACGTGCCGATCACGCATTTAGTACGGGTATGACGATAAACCGTAAGGCCTATTTATACTTCACTTCAGTCACGTTTTTCTTTACGTCCGTCAGAAATGCATTTTATGTACGTCCTAATGAACGTACGAAAGAAAACATGGACATAACATAAAACGGTGCTAAGATCCGGCTTATGTCACGGGCATTCAAGAAGCGGCTTTCTGGTTATACTCCAGAAGTCACGTTCGTCAAAAACTCAAATTTTGTGCCAAAAATTAAATTTCTGAAAATTTCAAATCGTTTTGGTATCCTGAACTTTTTCCTGCTTGGAGCAAAAATGGTTGCCTATGATGCCACTGTTTTTCAAAATTCTTTCCTGGTTTTGGGAATTGCGTTTCTCTTAGCCCGAAGGCGTTCTCGATCGAAAAAGCGAAGGTTACCGAGACGACTGTATATGCGAAAATTTTACAAAGAGCGAGCTGCAAAAACTGAACTGAATACCATGGTAAACGACCTGCGTTCTGATGATCCCGAACTTCATTATGAGCATTTTCGGATGACCAAGGAACGTTATCAGCATTTGTTACAACTGGTGGAGAAAGATTTGACCCGGAAAAAAACCCATCTAGTACCAATTACTCCTGACGAGCGGCTTGGGCTTACACTAAGGTTTGTCTGTGGTTCTTTAACACACTTGATGAGCGTACTTATTTCCTTTTTTTTCGCAGCATTTTAGTTGATGGTGTTCCGCAAAGTAGTATTGCGCGGCGATATCGAATGTCTAAAAGCTCTGTCAACATTATTTTTCGCGAAACCTGCAAAGCGATTTGGGATAATCTGGTTGAGGAATATGTGTCACCTCCAACAACGCATTTATGGGGAGAAATTGCTGTGCGCTTCTGGAACAAGTGGCAGTTCCCGAACTGTGTTGGAGCGATCGATGGCAAACATGTCGAAATCACAGTGAGTTTAGTAGGCCATTATGCTAGTATATAAAACTATATAATATATTAAGTACTATTTACAACAGTAAAAAATCGTCACTACAATACGATATATATAATTATATATATCATATATACTACATCTGTACAAGTGAAATGTTGTTACAGGCGCCAAATAATTCCGGATCGAAGTTTTTCAATTACAAGGAGTACTTCTCTATCGTATTACTGGCATGCGTAGATGCTGATTATTGTTTTCAAATTGTGGATATCGGCGGCTACGGTCGGCAGAGTGATGGTGGTACTTTTGCTGCTTCGGCTTTGGGCAAAGCTCTGGACGCCGGCGAGCTTGGTCTCCCTCCTCCGCAGCCACTTCCTGGAACAGAAGTCCCAACACCGCACTTATTTGTAGCGGATGCTGCATTTCCACTAAAAGAAAATCTAATGCGCCCATACCCGGAAAAGAATCTGGACGATGCCAGCCGAATATACAATTACCGGCTAAGCCGAGCAAGACGCATCCTAGAAAATGCCTTTGGCATTTTGGTGAATCGTTGGCGCATTCTGGCTTGTCCACTCCAGTGTGACCCCGAAACTGTTGATATTATTATCAAAGCTACCGTGGCACTACATAACTATTTGATACGCACAGAGCAGACTGCTGCCGTAACTAGCCGGAAATACAACCCTCCCATGTATTCGGATCTCATACAGGAGGATGGGTCAATTTCGGAGGGAGCCTGGAGACAGGGAATAAACCCGGACCAATCTTTGTTTCGACCACAGACGTCAAACTATTCGAATCGTGCCGCAACTTTACCCCTTCAAATTCGTGATTGTTTGCGAGATTATTTTTTAAGCGAGCAGGGTAAAGTCTCCTGGCAAGAACGTATGGCACTTGGGCGGAAAAAGTAATACACCATGGTTTCTGAGTTTTTTACTAGCAACGACATCAAGGTTGGTTGTAAATAAGCCACGAAACATTTGCAATTACTTATTATCCTACTTACGGCTACCTGTGCAATGTATATCAGCGTGCTAATACTGTACTTATTAAAGATAGAAACCATAACAACAAATGCACATTTAAACTTTTAACGATAAGCAATAACCAAAAATTATTTGTTAAAGCCCACCTCCATCTACCTTTGTTAAACTCCATCTACCTTCTACTGGCGTAATTAGTATAAGAGAAAAAGTCGAAATGAAATTAGTCATCCAGTTCTGACATTTGGTACTCGTGGAGCAAGTCCAACACCCTTTTTTTAAGCTCCAGTTGATTGCGAGGGCGCAGTTTGACAACTGATGCCTTTACTAAATCACCTAAAAACAAAATTTTTTTAACATGATGTGTCCGCTTTTATGATTATTATAGTTTTTTTACATCACTTTGCCTACTTACACCAGCTATTCGTTTCCGAGTCGGTGTTCTTGTTTGAGTCCAAATGTGTCCCCAGTTTATCGACATAGCTTAGAAATGCAGCTTCCAGCTTATCTTCAGTTGCCACCTTAGACAGTTCGTTTCGGGACTTTTTCGGCGTTGGGGTAGATGCTGGTTGCGATGAAACGTTCTCTTCGCCGACTGGAGTGTTTGCTATAAAGCTGGTAGCTTCCAGAACCGTTGTGTCTGAGCTTTCCGGTTCATTTTCCAGGCGCCGTTTAAGATTGGTTGTGGTTCTGAATAAAATTTAAATAATATTATATTAAAAATTCAAATAACGCAAGATATGTACAAAAATAAATATGCCGTACTGTATAACTAAACCAATGTAAATAAAAAATGTTTGTATGCTTACTTGCGGGTTTCTTTTACCGGTCTCAGGAATTCCATTTCTTGAAAATACTGCCAGGCTGGTTCTTTCTTTTTCTTCCCTTTTTGGTTTGCTGCAGATCCGGTCGGGAGCTTTACCGGCTTCGCCATTTCTTTCAGCAGCTTCGTATAGTAGTCCGTAAGCTGCGTCCATAGTTTTTTGCAAACCTCAGCTACGACAAAATCAATAAAAGAGATCAAGATAACATGCTTAATATTATAAAACATGGAATTAAAATAAGATTACTTTAGATTATGAATGATTGTCATAATGTGGTCACAATAATCATGTATAATAACCGTATATCATTAAAAAGTCCCGTTTAAAATAATACGGAAACCGTTTTACCTGGATCTCCAATGGCCGCTGACACCTCCTCCCACAACAGCTTTTTCATACTCCCTCGTGATTTGTATTCAGCGTGCGAAGTATCCCAAAGAGCAGGTCGTTTACGCACTTCTTTGATCAAGAACTCCCTTTTCATATCGTCGTCGGCTGCTTTCATTTCTTCTCGTTGTTGCTCCTCATCAAAATCTTCGTCGCCCAGCGTGGTCATTTTTCAGAAGTTGTGAAAACGTGTTATAAAAGCGTGTTATATAAAAGTCGATGTTTTTAAATATAAAGTCGATCGAAATACCTAATACAAAAGCCGGCATAAACTGCGCTGCGAGTACTTGCAAACTTTCGGAACCTTCGCGAATCTTTTGCGAGAATAAAGAAAGACGTGTGCAGAAAAACAGAATTTGACGTCCGTCAACTTGAAAAAATAGAACCAGTTCTATTTTCGAATTTTGACGGACGAAACCGGATTTTGACGTCCGTAAAGTTGACGGAACTAATTTCCGGACACTGTCCGGTTATGTGTTTATACTTCCCAACCCAGTCACGTGCACTGTGACGGAGATGTGAAAGTGTGTATACTCGTGAAAGTTTATCAGTTCCGTGAGATGTGACGGCCTTACACCCAAGTATAAATAGGCCTGTACTGTCAGTGCGGAAGTGCCCCGGCCAACACGTACAGCTTCCGTTGTAACGATCCTAGACACGGGATCAGCCACATCCCAGCCGATTCGAAGGAATTAAAACAAAAACTGCAAACCTATAAACGACCGGAAGGGATGAATTTGCTCATTTTAGGTTAGTTTAAGTAACATAGCTATCATATTTTTTTTACTTTCGCCGTTAACCGTTGAAAGTCCAGATTTAATCATACGAAGATTAATAAATTTATCGACATTTTGACTTGCGGCTATCAACGAAATCTTCAAAGTATTTCGCTAGTGCGCGGCGACTCAGGCGCGGGGTTGAATACGCTTCTAGCAGGCAATCAGTGGACGTTCGGGAGAGCTGAAAAAGTAAGAATTAGCGCCGCTCTACGATTCCGGTCTCGACGTGGCAGAGACACACCCGTTAATGCCGCTGCTCAAGGCACGTGGAAGCAACCGGACACCACGGCTTACCCTTTACCCACAGGAAAGGGAGATTCATGGTCGCGTCATGTGGAGCCCAAACAACGAAACCAGACTGGAAACCTGGGAGATTGCGGACTTCGGGTGCCGGAGTAACGCGTCGAGACCGTAAAGTCGTGACGACTAGTGGCTCGACAGGGTCATCCTGATTCAGGTACGCGAGGGAACATCGATCGTATGGGAGGCTATTTGCTGGGATACTTTGCCTGCCTCGAATGTATCGAAGAACCCGGGTTTTGGCGTTATTAGCGGAAGACCGGGACGCCAAAAGTTTGCTGTACTCGAAGAAATGAGATATCTGTATTGCCCTTCAGCGGTTAAGACGAATGGAACATTCCGAACTGCCTCCTCGCGAAGATAAGCTGCTTTGTTGGCACGATACTCCAAGATGCCACTGGCGGTCCTAGATCACCGGGTGTCCGAAGATAGAATTTAAGTCCACCGTACAAACATATGAGTCACACCGTTGATAACTGTTTCAGTCATACAACCGTATGAGGAAATGATGCCACAGAATTAAGGGAGCACAGAACACACGGGATAGAAACGCATACAGTAACATATACACCGGTGCTTAGTGTTAGAATTTTTGTACTTTCAGTTAGTGTATAGTCCGAAGGCTCGAGAGCGCGCGAGTTGCTTTTGTCGAATAGTATAGTCGAATCAAAGCGAAACACTGGCAGGAGCCAGTGTTTCGCTTCGATTCCCCGCGAGGTTATAGGGACGCGAAATCCAGTGCGGATGTGCAGCAGGCTCTGGCGAACGGGGTCAGGCCGTTCATTGACGGGGATTTCAAGCGGACGGCCCGGTACAAGAACGAAGAAGCGTTTCTGGGTCTGGCTGGCCTCGTGGCGCTGGCTACGTAGAAGAATGTGGCGGAACAAGAAATTTACGAGGTCGGTACAGTGGATGCAGATAGAGTACAGTGTCGGTACAGTGGCTACACTTAGGATACAGTGGATGCCGAAGGGCATTCGTCAATCGCGGAGTTACGGAAAAGGGAATATTTGAGTTCTTCGCTTTTCTCCCTCTGATTGTTTTCTTACCGCAGAATAAACATTCCAATGTCGACATTCAGGTAAAATTTCCAAACTTCTTATCTAAACCAACTTGCGCGCGCTCGATCATTGTATTTGTATTTCAGAGCCGCGAGCCGGCATTTGTTTTCCAGCGAAATGCCAAGCGCCACATTCTTGTTGCGAATCTGACCGTGTCATGCAAGAACGGAAAAACAATGGCTTTGTATAAAAGTCATCTTTCTTATTAAGAATGTACCAAACACATTTGATTCTCATATGATTTCGTTTGAACTGAAGCAGTATATTCTACTGCAAGCCAAGATCGTTTTGACACGGAATAGCTTTATTCTGAAATTAGTTATTAAATTTCAAAAACTATGGAATTCATTGAAAATTTTTGAAAACATTTAAACTGTGATCCCGTGCCAAAACAAGATTTATGCCCTGATGCGGAAGTCCGTTTGCTGGCAAAGTTTGGAAAAGTAGGAGGACTTTCGGTAGACTGCAATAGCAACAATAGGGTGACTTTTGGTACACCGAGAAGCATATATGGCTTTTTGCTTTCTAAGTTTGAAGCACTTCGCAACCCAAAGTTCTGCGTGCATCCAAATCACTCTACTAGTAGTATAGAAGGAAAATGCTTTCCAAAAGAGATAGTTTGCGGGCAAATATTTTACGCTTATTGTGCGAAAAGTATAAAATAATTTCAGCATATGACAGTGTATCGGCGTAGGTATATACTCTATAGATATGCCGATACATTCAAGGAGGCATACACAGTACTTCCGCCTGTCTACGACCTCGTGCAGCTTACTACCGATTGTTTGTTTAATCAACTTAACCTTTGCAACTAGCAATAAATCATTTCTCTTGCATTACAACGGTGTCGGCTGGCAGTTATTGTCATACAGTCTCGCACTACTTGGGCCATAACTGTTGTACCTCCGTATTCATTAGGTTTAGAACAAAGTGACGGAACAAAACAGTCCAAGCTCCGCTTTTTTTTTACTAGAATTTCTAGAACTCTGTCTCTACGAATGCACCGCCAATACAATAAGGCGGTTACTAGAAGTAAATCGAACATGACGGAGGAAATAAAGCGTTATCCTGTACAAGGCGAACGTCCAAGGATTATGCTCAGTCTATAGACCATAAAGGAATTTCACCAGACAACCCAGAACTTCGGTTTCACGGCTAGTTACGGTTGATATTGGCCTTTATTGGGCATTACATTTCTGGCTGACGGGATTTCAGCACTGAGGCAGAAATCCACGCCGCCAGATCAACATGGAAACAACTTCCATTAACGAAGCTACAAGGCGCGGAGCCGCGTCGGATAGCGTATAGCACTGTTCCACGATCCACAAAGCGTACTGACCAGTGGGATTGTGCTCGCTTTATCTTCTGTAATAGCGTCAATATGTCGCGTTCAGTCCACAGCAAACGAAATCGATCTGCTATTTTTCATTTGATTTTCAGGTTTTCTTAGGATTTCTTGTTGCTTCCTAAGTTTTTTCATGTTTTCTTGTGTTGACTTACGTTTTTTTGCTTTTTGTTACTCTTAAGTTTTTTCCAGTTGCTTGGGGATTTTAATGGGTCTTATGCTTTTTAGGTTTCTCAGTTTATTTTTGTTTTTTTCGGTTTTATTCAGCATAATGAACTATTTGTAACTGTGTGATAGATGACCTGTTTTTATCAAAACGGCCTCGAGAGAAATCGCGGCGTAATGTCCTGCCAAATAAATGTCCTGTTGCGAGATGGCCCATTCTCTCATCGCAGCCTTTAATGTAAACAAAAGAATAGAAAATTTTAAAATTCGGGCGACACCGTGGAATAACTCCCTTCTCTAGTGCAAAGATATACTACGAAACTACAGTTGCCAATAATTAGCAAAAATAGATCTAAAATGCAGGATGCAGTTCGTACTTGGAGCGTGTTACACAGACGGAAACGCCCACTTGCAGCATCCGCTGTCCGGCGCGACGCACCAGCAGGCAGCAGCATCCTCACGTCAGTGGCAGTAACGGTTTATGAGAGCATGGCGCGACGAAGAGACGTAACCGTCGTGCAATCTGCTTTCGTTTGGTAAACCCACTGAGCAGATGTCCCCAATGATTACAGGCGCACAAATATTCCCTCGTCCATCTTCAACAGCCGCCTCCAGCTGGCCACAGAAGACCACTGATACAGCGGAATCACCAGGCAAGCTCCCATCCCTGATCCGGTCAGAACCGGACCGTCAGCGATCGGCTGGAGGGAACCGGCCCCGTCAACGGTACGTTCAGCAAATAACCCTCGGGTGTCAAAAGACCCGATCCACCCCCTTTCTGACACCACCCTGGGAAACAATTATGGTGGTGACACCGTGGTGGAATATGAGCCCATTTCGTCGGTAGTGGAGAATAAATTCGATGAAGACTTCAGAGTTTTGTACTTCGAAAAGTTTTACAAACTCTGCTACTATGATTGTACGAATCGTACATAATACGGCTTATGTACAAACGTACGAACGAACGAATACGTTGTACGTACGAATTGTGCTTTTAATTTGTAAATGACATTATTATTTCAGTATGGGGACTCTAGTATAGCGCCCACAAGGGCAATGGTTTATCCCATCGCGTAAGGGACAGCAAGTACAAAATGTAGAAGGGATTCTGTAATTTGTAAAGTTGTGAACAGTCAGTACTTTATGATAAATTCTGCACAATCTGCTCGACAAAAATAAGGAAATCTACTTTATTCTTTTTGTGCCCGAATACTGACGCATTTTCGTAAAATTTTGATTTCAATATATCCAGCTAAACAGTGTATTTAAATTGTCCTTAACGTTTGGATTACACGAAATTACTTCCCAGGGAATTGGTTAGAAACCACGCGAGCATTGATGTGAAGCCGAAGACGACTTTTATTTAGGTAATGCAAAACGTGTGTAATTGCAAAAATTTAAATCCCGATTCCTCGCAATTATCTAGTTATCTGTGTAAAGAAAAGCATGCCATAAATTTTATATTTCATTAATTCTTTCCGTTCTTATGACATGTTTAGTCCAGTGCCAAAATATAATGGGCGATGGCTTTCTGAGCTTTTCAGTTTAGAGAGAGAGGGTCACATTCGGGGATGTTTCTTCCAGGGTCGTCTATCCCATACACGCTGCCACATATTAGGCGGTGGTGATGGCGGCGGTTCGCGTACCAACGGCACGTAGCGAATGCGATCGACCTTCCGCGGGCGATACGCGGTCTCCATGTAGGTGAAGCGCTGACGGTCAGCCTGTTGTTCCATCCATTCCATCTTGCGGAACAACGGTCCGCTGATCCGCAGGGCATGCAACCGTTCCACGTCTTCCTGCACCGAAGTGATCGTGAATTCGGGGGCTGACGCATTGGTGCTTTTGATAGCCTGCTCCAGTACATTTCGCTCGTGTGTGTAGCGCTGCAACATCTCTTCACAAGCATCCAGAGTTTCGCGATCCCCACCGGCGGCCACCTTCTGCTTTTCCTGATTAATCAGCTGGCGCAAGTATTCGTCCAGCGCATCATTGTACACCGACATCGCGTTGACCTTGAGGAAATGCGCAAATTTTGACGCGATACTGGTTATGATATCGAGCTCGTTGTTCAGATCCGCCTCCTCAGCCTTCGATTGACGAATGACCTCTTCCGCCGCCAGAATATGTCCGTTCTTCTGATCCAACAGACCTTCGATGCTCTGGTCAATCACGCGAACGGTCACCACCCGGCATTCGTACTTAACATGCATGTGATTCTCGTAACCGCATCCACAATGATTGCATTTGCCTTGGTCGTTCATTGCCTGACATTTCCGCAGGGCTTCAAGATTGGCCGTGTCGGCTGGCACGTCTTTCAAATAGCAATGCGGATGGCACCAGGTTTTATAGTTAGCCCGCTTCTGACCGGTGGCATCTTGGCACATCTCGATGCAGCTTTGCGCAATGCACACAGTTCGCGGATATGGGATCTCTTCGAGCTCCAGCTGGCTCTTGGTCACGTAGAGATCACCCATGAGGACGTCCTTCCGTTTAATGCACTCGGCCAGTTCGGCCTGTTTGTCCGCCATTTTGCCGATATTGACTTTGTGAATTGTGGTGATCTGCGCCATGGGTTTGGTCAGTTCCAGGATTAAACGCCGTGCTTCATTCAACGTGATGGTGGCGTGTGTCTGGTGCGCGTCCAGTCGGCTGATATGCTCCATCAGACGGCCCGTCTCTTCCACCGATTTCTCCCAGCTTTTAGCGTAATTCTCCCGCTCCGTGTCGCTGAACTGGATCCCCGCTTGTAGGGCGGCGAGAAACCGCACGGACTCGTTATCCATACAGAACATGGTGGTTTTGTTTAGAGGAATATTGATGTTTCGACTCTGTTCTAAGAGCTTGGTCAGCGGTGGCAGACTATCACCCGGGCGGTACAGTGTAGAACGGGAATTTGTAAAAACAAACACCATGTTCCGGCAGGCATCTTTGTGTAGATGAATCAGGAGTTCCTGTACGCAGAATTGAAACATTAAATTCAAGCGGGCATTATTCGGCTTCAAAAGAATGCAGATCCCGTGAATCTCCGAGACGTGGGAGATATGCGCCAGGATCTTCTCAAAATTCTTGCGGTCCTGATCCAGGCCGCGTGTGTCACCGATGCCGGGTGTGTCGATCAAGCGAACGATGCGATCTTTGTAGGGAAAGACGTAGGTTTTAGGATCCTGCGTGGCCGACTGTGTGGCATCATCAGCATTTTCCGTGCTGCTCGGAACACTGCTAGCCTTTTGCTCTACCTGCGTTCCTCCGGGATTGTAGCGCATACTGATTTGTTTGGGCTGGTAGTTTTCGTCGGACATAGTAAACGAAGAGGGTATCAGGCAGATCAGGCCTTCCTGCTCGGCGATGGCGAAGGAATCAAAGGTTAGGTAATTAATGAAACCGTTGATCCAAGTCGATTTTCCCACTCCGGTTTCTCCTGTCCGAAAAACAACATTTTTTCAAAAAGTTTTCCCACAATCGGTGTTTTTTACCGACGTCTAGCATACGAGCTATGCCGCTGATTATATATTATGGTTTTGTAATTTCGTTTGACAATGTTATATACTGACGTGAAGCAGTATTTTCAGAATTCTGATGTTTACAGCTTTGTAGGCTTCTTCACTGCATCAGAATATGATATCTTAGCAGTTACCAGTTTTACCACTTGCCAAGAAGCTATCAGCGCTAAGAAACATGAACATGGCAGTGACTCTACTACAACTTGCCGAAAGCATTTTATGAATACTGTTAGGATGGCGCAAGCCATTCCAGCCATTTATGAAAACTGTTAGGAGGGCGTAACCATTCCAGCCAATCAATCGTACCGGCTTGGCCAAATGACCTCCCGTAGACTTACCTAAAATGAGCAGATTAATTTCCTTTGGAGGTTTGTAGGTTTGCAGCTTCCGATTTAATTCAAACGGGTCGACTGGGAGACTCGTGCTTCCGTGGACGGGATCGTTGCATCGGAATCGGTACGTTTTTGCCGTGGCACTCCCACATGGGCAGTACAGTTTATCATCATACCCGTACTGAAGACGGGATCGGCATATGCCGCAAAACCATGCGCGGTCCAGTGCAGTACAGGTTCCGTAGCGATGTCCAGGACACGGTAATTCAAAATCGATAAAATATTTTGGTTGAGGACCAGTCCGAGCGCTGTTAGAATGCGCTAAGCATAGCTGGCCTTCTTGAACAGATGGGTGTGCTGTTTCATTTGGAGCCATTAGCGGTTTCGTTGCACTGCAAGGAAAACATCAGCGGGTTAATGATGGTACAACACTTGATAATGTTCGCAAAATAAAGGTTTAAATTTGTTTTTTAATTTAGCCACATAAGAGGCATTAGTTAAACGAAATAATCACTCGATTACTAGGCAACGTAAGCTGGCGAAGTCAGCAGGTGTCTTTCAATGGTTACTTTTTATTACGACATCTTTTGGCTGTAGATTATGCGGAAAACAATTTCGGCGGTTATAAAAATATCCCGCTTTTGATGGGATTTCTGAATTCTGGGGAGGAAAATTGTTCGGTAGCTTCGCCCGAAAGTGATATGGATTAATCATTAACGTAATTATCTGTTCTTCGCTGTCGAGTGTAGGCAGGGAACAGTATATTCGCGGCAGTACTCGATATTCATTGGAGATTTTGCTATCTGTGATAGGTGGCGACACATTTACACTACAGCATAAAAAGTTTCGCCGGCAGCAAAATAACGACAAATGCATTTAATATGAATCCTAATGGACGCTTACATCTATTTGTGATACCAAGACACATGTCGTTGACAGTCGTTCTCCCTTAACCGAAAGGCAGAAATGACCCGGCAAAATAATATCATACATATTTGGAGATTTATTTTAGCGAATAATTAGCCGGATTTGCGCGAAAAATATTTTTTTCCACTTGACTGAAAGTTCCCTTGCACGCAGAGCAAGTTGGCAAAAACGCTGTGCCCCTACCCAAAACCACCTGGGACGCCGCAGGGAGGATGCAGTATTAAATCTACAACTTATTTCGATGTTTGGTTCTCGCATTACAGTCATATTGCAGCGCAACAACCACAGAAGTACCGCTACTACCGCAACTGCATCGCACTGGTCCAGTTCTTGTCGCTTACCCAACTGAATCTTGAGGATGATCTGTGACCGTGACCGGTTTGGCACTGTTTAATCTCCGGCTGAGACTTGGTAGTGCTCGCGGCTTCCAAACGGTGGTATAGGCTAGCGATGCCAGTCCACCAACGGCCGTAAGGATTCCGGGCCAGAATTCGTCATGTCGCACAAGTTGCCAGCCGATCAGTATGACGATGAGCAGCGCCACCTGGACGGCGTAGATGACCACGTCGTACCCGTGCAGCATCGCTCGGAAAGCATACGGTCCAATATCCACGTGCATCTGCATGTCGCGCACATGCGACAGCGCGCGGTCCACGCTCTGCCCGAATTCCGCCACGCCCAGCGTCTCAAATCCCTGGATGTTCAGTTTAACGTCCTTGATCACCTTGGCCACGTCCAACAATCGCTGGCCAAAGCTTTCACCCAGTTCTCGGCCAACTGCATCTAACCCGAAAATCGTTATTCCATGCTTGGTGAGCAAATCAGCAGCATCCACCAGGTGACGGCCGAACTCACGTCCCAGATCCCGTCCCGCCGTGTCCAGACCGGTGGTGCTGAGTCGCATGTCCTGGAAGGCCTGCGCGGCCCTGGCCAGATGTTGACCGAACTGGGCACCCACCGTGTCCAACCCGTGAACGGTGTGGTGGCTGTCGCGTAATTGCGTCGCCACATGCTTGAGATCTTCGCCAAATTTCTCCAACCCGGCTCTGGTATGAGCCGCATGGGTGGCACCAGCGTTTTTCCCGATGTTACTGAAGATATTTCCCATAGTGTTGAGTTGCTCTCTGGTTCTGCAATATAATCATAACACCGTAAATAACTAAATACTAATCGGCCACGCCGCTGTAAACGATGACATTCAATTGGTACCTTGTGAGCACTTAATTTCTTAACGCTTGCAAGCTCACATTCGTACTCCCGCTACGGGTAGTACCTTAAGGGAAGCGACTCACTGCATGGTGCGAAATCTTTCACGTGCATGGAAACTTTCGTTAGCGCGCATTCGCAAATTGTTAGTGCATCGTTTATGACATATTATTATTTGAAAACAAGACCGATAACCGAATCTACGGATCAATTAAATCAGAATTGAGCAGTTTATCGTGCTGTCGGCACCGGTACCGGTCTCTTCCTTACTCGACACACTTACCGTACTGCTGTAGTTTGCTTGTTAACGTTAGGTCCAAGCTTCCTCCGAATAACGTTAGCTCCAAGCTTCCTCCGAACAGTAAACCAACTGCATAAACTGGACCAGTCGTATCGGCGTATTTAAAATCCTGGGAAATAGCTCAACTAAATCCCGAGTTAGGAGACTAGAAGCGATAAATTAGTAATTTGATTTTGGTGTTATTCTTTCACATCAGTAGACCAGTAGTACGGCAACCGTCTGTGGCTTTAAATTTGTGCGCAGATGTGTTATTGAATGATCACGTCTGCGTCCTGACGTTAGTGTTGTGAGGGAATGTGAACTATGATAACGATTATCACACCTTACCAAAGTTATGACCAACAATGCGCGTAAGAATGAGTAAACATACTGCACTGTGAATTGTGAGTCATTGCTGCCGGCAGCAGCAATGCTAAACTTGTACTCGTACTGAAAATTTTTCCTCCATGTTTGCAGAAGTAAGACATCGCGCTATCTTGTGCGCACCCATGAAAGATTACGCGGCTTAGTCATCGCAACATTCTCACGCTGAAATTTACCTAAAGCGCGGCGTGATTCGTGAAAGCTTGGTCTTAGCATTTTAGTTTGTGTTGCAGTGATTTTAAATAATTTACATTGACAGACGTAATTCCTTTAGTTAGATGGGGAATGTTTTATAATTTCTATTCGCCAGCTAAATTTATTAATTTAGTTAGGTAATTTGTGGTAAATTTGCTTAAATCTATGGTATAAACTATAAAGACGTACTTAAAAAACACCACACGGTGGTTGCACTTGATGCTTCTTTTTAATTCGTTGCAAATGATTACGTGTACCATTTAAAGCAGAAGGAAGTCCGTCAGATTTTATTCATTTCATTATCAGTACTAATTTTTAATATTGTTCGGTCTGCAATAATGTATTTTGTATAACTGCCAGCAACTAATGAGCTAATAATTAATCTTACTAAAGAGAATTTGAAAACTTTAAAGATTTACAGTTCTTTGGCAACTAAGCTTCCAGTAAGGATCTACCAAACACTTTGAATAGGTAATTTGTTAAAATCGGTATGTACAGCGTCCTTCAGATATTCTAAAATTACCGCAAATGGCAGAACTGTAAGCAGTAAATGCGTACGTTTTGCCACCATACAATAATAATCCACTGCTTATCTCTCAGTCAGTCCTAGACTCCTAGTAGTTCATCACAGGTTTTCCAAAACACTTAATAAAATCCATTTTCAAAACATCCCGACATAGCAGTACGTTTATAAAGACCGTGCCGATAAAATACAGTTGGTTACCTGCAATTTGCGAAAGACGGGAACGCTGACAGCATAATATCAGAAATAGAAGAGCTTTGGAATCGCCATCATTTTAATTAAGTACACCGTATAGATGGACTAATAAATCAAATTTACCCACCCGAATCAATTCAAAACCGTTTTATTTATTTCTCAGTTAGTTCACATCATAGCTGCAGTCTTCATAGAAAGAATTATCGCGCTGTTGTTGTGCCTAAAACATGTCAAAAAGGGCGAGGGAAACCAAATTTTTTGTGGTGGGCTAAGATAACAGTTAACAATCACATTATCACACCTGATGTTAATTAATATATCACCTCCATTTTGGACTTCCTGAATGGCGAGGTCATACAAACTTTCTTGTGCCGCTCTATCCCTTTTGCTAAAGTTTAGCAAAATATTATGTACTCATCACTTCCGGCTACAGTACATGCATGCAACACTTTACTGAAGTCATGAGTTCTTTTCGTGTTTTCTTTAAAACCTTATGAACTAATTGAATATGTTTTTTATTTTATATTGTGCAATATGGTGTTCAACACATTATGTTGCAAAAGCTAGAAACTACCGAAATTGGTCTTCCCACAGATAGTTTTCATTGCTTCTCGCTTCTCGCAATAATAATGTTTATACAGTACATTATTAAGTATCTGTACAGATACTACAGGTGTCCCGTGTGCGTATTTAGCGCTGCATTTACACACTTTACACACAAGTTGACTAGAGCGGAATTTTACAACAGCAGCTATCATCGCTTAAATAAAATCTGATAATTTATCAAGATTGTGCACAAACCTTCACGCCTGAATGCAGTCCTTGCTGAAAGAAAACGTTCCTGATCTTATCAGGAAAATTTCAGTATTTACTCCACGTTAAGAAACAACTAAATTGAGAAGCAAAAATATTTCATTCAGCATTTCCACGAGCCGTGATATTTTTGATTTTGTACTTTAAACCATCATATTTATGCTCTTTTTACAAGTACGGCTAACGCGGGCTTCTTTAATCATACGTTTTTGTTCGTATACCGTGCTTATAGGGAATTAATAGTACTGCGAAGACGTCAGTTATTTTCAATCTTTTCCTTTCTTTGACATGTTTAACAAGTCGGCACTTCTTTTTCTTCATGTTTTTGCTGTGTTTTGCTTCAATAACTGTCGAATGAAAGCAGTTGATGTTGAGGCCAAAGAAGGTTGTTCAGTAACGATGAATTCGGAGTTCTCGACTTTAGCTGCTTTGTCAGAAACGGACGAGGACTTCCATATCTATTGCCAGTAAGAGTTTAAAAGTGGCACTGGCGAAGAAAGAGAGTATAAAACATATGTATTTTGTTAGGATAGTCATCATAATGCAATATTTAACGAAATGGTCAATAATAGAACTTACACACACATACAGCTTTATAATGGAATTAAAACTTTCAATAATGGAACTTACAGCTTTATTCTTTTTTTTGTGCAGCACAATGAGGCAAATTACTGACTGCCTGAATATTACCGTCGTCAATCACCCCAAAGTTGCTGCTTCACGGGCAAATATTATGGCGCTGAACGTTGTTCAGGGAGTGGTTAGTAAGGTCTGTTCCGCAGCCAATGCAAGCCGATGGGCGCAGGAATATACTCGCTGTCACAACGCTACCGCCTTTGCTGAATGCGCTAAGCAACTTTCTAATTCTTCTGATCTTAGTGCTGTGTGCAGGTACGCGAGAAACCAACATTTATCGCATAGCACCTACTAAATACAGTAATATTTAACTGATTTTTCTAATTACGCCATATATCGCGCAGAGACCACATATTGCATTACGAATGCTTCGTGCCATGGACGAAGAATGTCTGCTCCCCGGAAGCCCAACAGTACCATGACCTCTTGCATGACATTGCTGTGACCGCTCAGTGTACATCCGAAACATCTGGTGCCAGCCTTAGGACATCGACCATCGTGCAACCGCTCATTATCGGCACCGTGGTGGCTCTTGTAGTGTTTTACGTCTCGAAATACTCTGTAGTCATGCAAATCTAATCTACATCGATGGACACGGTGCTACTCTATAACTGTTTGGACAAGAAAGTGTCCCCAATACAAGTCATTGCATCCGCAATATACTTACTGAGGAAGGTTTTATTATGTTTTGTTTGAGAATTACAGCGAGTGTTGTTAATTTTGAGCAAGGATTTGGTAAGGAAGCACGGATTTCATTATGATACGCAGGTAACAGCTAAAGAAATTATTTATTTCTTTTTTTCCGCTTCACTTAGGTTTGTTAATAAATGGCAAGGAGATCAAGGCGAAAATGCCACTTTTGCCGGTCACAAGCGTTTTTGGATCAAAATGGCGCACATTTCGCATCGTCTTCGTTTCGTTTTTATTTTTACTACGAAAACCATTCGGCCTAATTTACTCACGGCATACTACAAAAGAGTGCTTAGCATTTTACGGTCCACGTTTACTATCGGCTTGTCGGCATCGGCACTTTAATTTATGAGTGCAGTTGAAAGATTCTCACTGACGATTATTCGGAATTGTCGTACATGCACTCATCGATAAAACAGTGAGCGTTTTTTTTGAATGCCATATAGACCCAAACCCGGGCCGCTATTTGTAACGATTTAACGAAACGCGCGTTATTTCCGCGTTATTGCGTTATAACGTAACGTTATCCACCACTTATTTGGCATGAGGTATTTTTGTCAGCTTTGTACGGAAACACGTAGACCAGTATCAGGAATTACATAAAACAGATCAGTTTCGAATGGGCTTGGGTATAAATAATTTAACGCATATTTTTTCATGGAATGTTGCGAGTATATTTTGCGACAGGATCTGAAACGCTGACGTTACGGTCCAAGAGAATGACCCGGAAATTCGTTTATTAAGGTCAAGAAATTCACCAGTCAGACATAATAACATCGCCACACATAAATAACGTTCAAAAATCAGTTTGTATGTTATCTGTTTTGCTGAGATATCTATCAATTCAGCTCGATAATAAATCACGTAATTACATTCTCGAAACGGCAATAGAAATATTATTGAAATTGTTATAAAATTTGCAAAATATTTTCGTGCACTTAAAAAAGAACTCAGACTTGATAGCAAAGATAAGAATGCAAATGCACGTCGTCGCGGTGCAAAATTGCGTCCAAATATCCGAAATAAAATAAATAAAACTGTTATTCGAACAGAAAAAATCGCTTTTTAAAAGGCATGTTTTATTCAACTGGAAATGTTCATAATCAAATTAATCTAACCACCAGAACCGAAGCGTTCGGCTAAACAAATGTGTGCCTGAATTTTATGGTACACTCAGTATAAATAACAAAGGAAAGGATTAAATTAGGATTTTATAAAAATGTAAGTTGTGGTCTATCATTATATAAATGATACAAAATAACTTAAATTTTCATAAAATTGGCAGGCTATTATGCAGAAACTGTGTCAGCACGGTACTCAGACACTTCACAACAAAGTTGAGACTAACTGCTGACGGCAGAGTTTACCTTTCCGCCATGTCGTCGCATTGGGAAATTCACATGCGCAGATCGTTCTGGAGTTCACATTCCTGTACCGAGAACTAGCTCGTCATTCCTTAGTCCAAAGCGAATTTCGGTTGGAAAGAGTTCGCTAGAATTTGCCGATGGTGCACAACGCAGCGGCAGCCCACTTCAACGCCCACCCAAATATGTAGCAGTGTTCCAGGCATTGCGGACTCAAGTGGGGCGTTATTAAAATTGTGTTAGCTTCATCACAATTAATAGCGTATCGTCCTACCAAGTGCCATTTTTGCCGGCATGTTTTCGACTATTTAAACGCGCAAATTTCATGCTCGAACATTAGTCTATCTAATTATTGCCTGCATTATTACACCATTCGATGATATATCGAAGATTTAACTGCAAGCAGGAGAAAATGCTTCTGACTGTTGTGACCTTTGGCTTGATAGCCATCACTCAGCAAGGCCATTGCCAAACGACCGAATATGGTCTGGCTTATGTATGGGAACACAGCGACCGCAGGCCTGATTACGACTACCGGGTGGGTCGCTTCAACTTGCTTGGTTTGTTTCGAGATGAAATAGTCCAGTGACTGTTTAAATACAATTCTAAACATATTTTAGCTGGCAAAGGATTCAGGCGATAGGTAACGATTCTACATTGCAGGTAACCACCGCGCTACCCGGCATGTATCGTCATTCTAACGGTACGTAGCAAAAATTAGCCCCCTCAAAACGTTTCGTTTACTAGCATGGTTCCCATAAATTTTATTAATTTGATGCATACATATTTGCCCATGTAAATTAATTTAAATAAAATTAAAGCCGGTTTTTATTCAAGGCAAAACTTAACTGAAATTGTTTGTGCATTGTTATTCGGCGTATGCACTTGCATACAGACCGGCCTTGCCGAGTGTTTTATTTCTTGCGTAAAGGTACAATCACTTCACTAAAATTTTCACAATGATAAATAATTCGCTAATTTTTCGTTGAGTTTTTGTGATGAATAAATCCGGTTGATATATTTTCGATTTTACGACAAATATATTTGTATGATATCAGCATCTGGCGTGCATGATGCATGCCAAATGCACGTAACGCGTAAAGAGTATGGCGTGGCGGGCGGTAGTATGGAGCTCAGCGTTTAAACCTGTGAATCTGTTATTCTCGCCGTTGCTTGACACGTGGTTGCATTGCTTTTTATCAGGTGAGCAATATTGTAATTTTCTGGTTGACGATCCCGAATATCAGCGGGTAATCGTGGTGGGTGAGTGTCTGAAGACGGAATTCGGCGAGCAGCTGCTCCTTGTTCGTAGGCCTCAGAAAGGCTGTATACAAAAGGTCAGTTTCGGAACGGCTCCTGCCATGGCGGACAGAAAGTGGGAGCCGGTGTTTGCTGGCATCTGGTACAATCTCCATGCGGTAGATCCGGAGGTGTTCGATGCAGCGGTGACATCAGTCCATGACTGTCTCGGGAACGGTACCGAGTGCAAAATCTGCGTTCAACAGACGCGGCTGTCGGATCTGATTGGCGAAAGCTACGGAGTTGGGAAAAGTATGCTTGCTTCTTAAAAATAGCAGCCTGATCCTATCCTGGTAATAAGAGCTCATAATATAATTATTACCATAACATTCTGCTTTAAAATACATATTATATCATTCTCATCCCCTGTATTTTCACGTTGTTTGTATTGTGCTGCATTAGCATGGTGCTGCACGAAGAAAAATACTGCATACTACTATCCTGCCGGAATTAGGAAACGGTTTTTAGACCCATGCAGTGCAGCGGCGTAAGGGGCGCTTTGCGGCTCTTTTGGCATTACTGCAGCCGCTTCGCGGAGCTGGTCAGAAAAACGGTGCATAATTTTGAGAGGATACAGTGGCAACTATCAAGTGAATAACAACTGCAAGCGGCTTTACTGTACTACCGTATATGTCGTATATTGCAAATGTGGTGTGAAGACTTAGGCTTGAGCAAACTGATACACGAACATCACTTCTCGAGTTTGGGGAAAATGCTTGGTTAAAAATAATTTTCTTGGTGGTTGAATCCGCTCGCAGTGATGTAGTAGGTGAAATTCGGCAAATCAAAGTTGCCAAACCATATCAACGTAAAGGTTTTTAACGAATGTTGCCGTTTTTTTAAACAGCCGACCCGACGGTGGCCACCACGGACAGCACGACGACCTGGTGGGTACGAGACTGCCGGAGCCTAGGCGGAAACGCCGTATGTAACGTCAGTGCGGGAACCTACTGCGACTGCTGCTTTGGCTGGGAAGACGAGCAAGAGTGTGAGCACATACAGCGGAACCCAGGAGAGCCATCCATGTTCATGGGTTGGGTTTAACAACCAGTTGCGGTTACGATCCATTTTAAACAGCCTTCTTAGAAGCGAATTCAAATTTTTCAGCGTTGTGTAATGTATTACGACTGCACACTGTAGCTCTTCATGTAACACGCTACATATAATCGCTGCGCGGCTGCTTAAAAAGTTAAGTAAACCACTGAACTTTGGTTTAGAAAAACCGGCATGCAGTGTCCTTTCTGTCTCTTAGTGGCCTAGTGCCCCGTGGATCTTATGCAACCTCAATAATAAAAATTTGTTTGGTGATCGGCTTCGGCAGCGCTCGAGTAATCTTATCAACAGGAGCAAAACGTACATGCACAGTGGAAACTGAAGTCCCGCAGTTGTCAACTTGTCGTCACTAACATACGCACGAATCATTCGTTGATCCGTATACTTCATACGGTCCCAAACAAATCTTATAACCATTTGGAAATAAAATTGACCAAGGTCAAGCAAGAAAAGGAAGAAATAATTAACGGATTTAATGCTGAGGAGTGATGTGACTGAAACCTTCGGTGCATGAAAACACGAACTTTTAGAATTCACTTGTAAAGTTAGTTTCGTACTCTTAACTCTGTATATGATCCGCTTGAGGAAAGCATCACACTTTAACATCAAAATGTTTGTAGTGCAGGAAAATCAGGATCCAAATTACGCACCAGCAATCTTACTTATGGTGCTCTAACACATACGTTGGTTAAAGGAGGCGGCAACAGTTAGTAACATAGTACGTATGCGAAGATGGCCAGAAAAGCCTGCCAGTATCTGGTTAATTGCTACACCTGTCGTCACGTAGCACCTGTTTATTGTGGCGGAAGTTAGCTGTTCAACTTTCTGGGGAAAACAGAAAGGATTTATTAACCGCAGTTTCATGAGAAACGCAGTTTTGTGGTGGGTGGAAAGACGATTGCAAACGGCGGCGTATCCGCAACAGACGTGTGCGATACTTAGGTTGGATATGTTTCTCTCATTAAATCAAACCTAAAATACTTATAAAATTTTCTAAATGGACCGAAAGATTTTCCAGGAGCCGGGTAAGATATCTCCGTTAATCAAGTTGGGCAACCGTCGAATGATAATAATAAGAGTACAGAGCGTCTATGTAAACAGCATACGATGCGCTTGCCAAATCTATGAAATTACGGTTAATATGTTTATCGTTGCTGTCCGGCTGCTGGCGCCATCTGAAGATTTTTTAATGCCGTGAAAGCTAAATAGAATTTTATTATAATCTTTTACAAGAAACCCCCGAAATAACAATCAGCAACCTTTAGTAGGGAAGAATACCATACCTATACCACAACATCGGAGGATGCTATTGCATTGTCTGCTGAGGCACAGGCAAAAATTCGTTCAATCTATTGTTAACTATGGTATTTCATTATAGCACGCATCTACCTGGAAGTCAGGTTTTATTATAGCACCATTGATGAACTCAAGTTCCTGGATATTCTGGAACTTGAGATCATCAATCGTAGGTAGTTGTTAAGCGAATACGTCGATGCCATTTCATATTCGCGTCAACTGCATTCGAAACAGCCCATGGCGGCCCTCTACTATCGTCAGCGCTGTAAGATTGTACAAGGAGCTACAGCTACTACAGCATACCGGAAAAACGCAATCACAGGGATTTCTGCGACAAAATTGTCGTTGGGAATTCAAAGAGGGAATGCGGGACCATCTGTGCTGGTGACCATTTGCTCTTAATTTTTTTAAATTTTAAAAGTGGATGTTATCTCGATTAACTTTACCGGCAATGATGTTTTGGCGCTTGTCTCCAAACAGTGAACAAGGCGATCTAAAGCCGGTTAATTACCGCTATTATAATCCTACACTACAGCCTGAGTCAGCCTGACACACGCACGCTATATATCGCTGATCTGGACGACCGAATTGTGATGATGGATAAGCAACCGTGCCTGTAAAAAAGATGCTAAGCAGTTGCGTGGAACGGCTCGGTTTAGGGTCGTTGAAATAGTAAGGACATTCATTTCCCTGCAAAATAATCACGAGGTCGGCCGAATATGGGTTGCATTAGCATCGGCTTACAATGTGCTGTTAATGTTATGGCGACTCAATGACAGCTCTTTTTCCGGAGCTTTTTCTACCCTTTGGTCTGTTACAGGCTTTTTAATCCTTATCAGACAGATGCACTATTACTCACCGCTCCCGCCAGTTATCACGATAACCTCGGCAATTGCGTGAACGATACAGCAATTTGTGTACCTCGGCTTATGAGCGCGACATAAGAACGTACGCTATTCTGTGCATGAGGTTAAGTACAAACGTTGACTGATGCCGTACTCCAAAATTAATTATTTTGTTTATTTAACAGGCTTTTGTAACATGGAGCAAGTAATCTGTTCTAGCATTGTAAGTCACTAAATCAACGTTTATTTACTATCAGCGGAAGCGCTTCAAGAAACGTCTGTTTATCCGCAAACGGCAAAACAAAGCCGAAGACGTGCATCTTGATAGCGTACACTTCCGCACAAATTTCTTTTGGATACTCTATGTGCATCTGGTAGCTACATAAGTTTTATGCGTTAAAGATGCGGCAATTCTATTAAAATTCCCAGTAAGTGAGAAAACATATAAAAGCATTAGCAAGTGTACCACCGATGAAAATCAACTCAAAATACCATAGAAAATAGGCACGACACGAGCCGCAATAACTATTACACAAAAAAACCAAGCCAAAGAGTTGATAAATCCACCAACCCAAACGTTGACACACATGGCATTACAAAACCCTCTCCACTCTGAATACCACGTGTGCCGGCGAGTGGTTTTCAAAATAATCGTGCCAAGTATGCCACAAATCTGCATCAGCGAACTCATTAATCCAAGAATAACCACTGTGTGTGAACGGTTTCCTGTATATCTGTGCCATCCGATAACCTTCGGACGCCGGCAGCTGTAGTTACAGTACTCCAAGTCACCTAAAAATTTAAGAAGGATTCTAAGCTGAATGCTTGGAATCCAAGCAACCAATTAGTTTAATGATTACAACGCAGATTAAGACACTTAAGATGCTAATAGGTAAACGGTAACATATCGCGCACAGAATTTCTCCATGTCCAAAAAAAGAAACACGTCTCTACCGAGCTGGTGCTGCATGGAGTTATCAGAAATGCTATCGTTCGAAATCATTACGAAGGTGCCAAAGCCAAATGTGTCACTTCCACAAAAGAGCAGGGGATAAATGGTGGCAGTGGCAACTGCCACTGGCAACTGCCACCGGCCGGTGGCACTTCGTGTTCTGGCAAGCGATAAATCGTGGCATCTGTCAGGATATCACGGTTTGTAAAGCCGACAAATCGCTGAACGATATGTCATTGAACAACTGTACGACAACCTGTACTCTATACACGTCAGTTTTTAAGCACGCTTTAGGACTGTCAAATGTAAAATGCTAAAGACACTATTTTTCTCGTTACCCTATCAAACCAAAAACCGTTAAAACTTTTAAATTGATGCGTGTGTATGCATGGACCACGTGAGGTATGATCAACCGTTATTACGAAAAACATTTCAATACGAGGACACCGAACCGATTGCATTACGTGTGTTTGCCGACTGCTTATCCAAAAATGATAAAAAAAATTCGAGAACAACCAGAATAAAAAATTTCTCTGCAAAGCGACTGCATTTGTATTACCTACTGCACATAAACAGGGCACACTGGCAGTTTGCTGACAACAATGGTGCAGGCAGACGGCTTGCTGACAACATTCTGCTGACCGAAGAAAGGAGAAACGATGACCCAACAGTTTGTAAAGCCGACAAATCGCTGAACGATACATCGTTGAACGACTTTTTGTCAACACCGACAACTTGCTGACCACAATTTGCTGACTTGAGAAGATCAGGCAGCCTAAGAAAACCAAGCCTTAGAAGCCTAAGAAAAACAACAAGAAGCTAAACCACTTTAACGTATCAAACCAAAAAGCAAGTTGTCGGTCATCAGGAATGTTTCGACAAAACGGTGACCAACAATTTAGCAGAAAAGTGAATTATCGGTCAGCAAGTTGTCGGTCAGCGAATGGTAGGCCGCCAAATTGCCGTGATATCGTTTGGGCACGCCTATGCGGCCACCGTAACATGAGTCGTCCTCGTCTATCAGTGGACGAAGGCCTGCAATTTGGCTTGAATTGCGTCCACTGTGGCAATGGCTATAAATTGCGGCCTCGAATAATTAATTTCGTTATTTGTTCACTTTAATTCTAGAGATTAGCTGATTTTGAATTTTTGTCAGTGCCACGTTTTATCGCATGCCAGAACGCGTAGTGGCAACTGCCACTGGCAGTTGCCAGTGGTAGGTGCCACTGCCACCTTTCATCCCCTGCCCTACAAAAGTCGCAAGCCAGGGAAACTATGGGCGTGCTCATGCTGTGTAATACACACGGTAATACTCGTATTTACCTACTGATACACTTATTGGCTTCGCAAAAAGCAGCACTAGGTTTGCGCTAACTTTGCATCGCTTTGCTCGGCCCTGCAAAGCAATGCAACGCGATCCGTCGCTGTGCCTGTTACCGTCTTAACAATTTAAACGAAGATTCGGGTGTTCGTACCGTTGTAGTTACAGCCACAGTGAACAGAAAAGCACAACTTTCGCAAAACCGTGTCCCTTGTGTCATTGGTCAAAATCGTGTTCCAGTCGTATATGCGTTCTAAGAAATCGTCGGTCACACCCCCGATCCACTGCTTTACGTCGCTGTCTTCTCGCGGAACAGCCACAGATGCGTTTTTAAAGGTCACATATCCGCTTCCATCCTCGTAACCTTAATCACATCAGAGAAGGAAAAAGGTTTACTTGGTGATGCCGAATCGGCGATGGCATAATCGATTTCAAGACATTCTGTATTTAAAATATGTACAATATGGTTCGTCGATACTGAACAAAAGTTTCTGCAGTAATCTAAGTCTGGTCTGGAATCTTTCTGAGCGGATAAATTAGAAGAAATTTTGCTGTTGTAATTCTGTTTTTGTTGCCAATCCATGTATTCTAATTGGCCTGTGCTAATAAAATATTAAAAGTGTGGAAAAGTGGAAGACTAGTGACGGCTGGTCATTAACCAAACCTGCGGCCTGGCTACAGTTCTGAACTTACGATAGTTGCCATCGATGCGAAGATAACTTGCTATCGCCAGGTGGAACTGGGCTTCGTCTGCTACGGGAACAAACAGCCAGTGCCCATTAAAACCTCAGCACTGGATCTAACAGAGCAGCGCTGACTTTCACAATAGCGCCGCTAAATGATTACCCGGGAGCCCGGATATGTGATCGTGTTGTACAGTGAGTCAAGAAATTTAGCGCGAACAGTTTGTCACATGATCAACTTAATATAGGTACTGTGTTTTTACAGATTTAAGGAAAGCTCCGGAGGCCGGGCCGCGCACACGGTCGGTCGGTATTTTTGAAGTAAAAGTAAACAGTATGGCATTGTATGAAGACCACGTAACCCATCAGTTCATATTTTTTTCTTATGCCTACATGATTTTACCGCAGGCTATCCATTTACATTAAAGTCGGCCATTGCATAAAATTCATCGAAGGATATTCTTCAATAAGATAGCTTAAGGAAGCCGCCCCTATTGAGGATGCTTGCCGCTCTTTATTACAGCGATGATTACGGCATCCTTGAAGAGAAATTTCTTTGCCCCATGGGGCCAGTGGCTGTATAATGCAAAGACCCGGATAATGAATTCAGAAGAGGCTTAATCGGTGGTGTCGGTAGTACCCAGGTTTAAGTTTTAACTGCACTGATCCTGTGCGGAAAGGAAAATTTTTGTCATTAATTAGTACACGGAGAAACTTACATGCCGTCGCCATCATAACAATGATCCAAACGGCCAGTGCGGCTTGCAGAATCACGCACAAAATATACGGTGGTATGCAGTATACATATAACCTTCTAGTTTTGCGGCGGAAAAGACAACATCGTAGGCGATTATCATCTGATGGTGAATTTTTGAGCATCTCATTTTCAATGCGCGTTTTCACTTTCATCTTGTCCGACTTTGTAGCATTCTTTAGCGGGTCTTTGGTTTTGGATGCCGCAACGACGAATAGATTACATCCGTACTGGGTCACAAGCTCACATAAAGACGCTAATCGACCTGGAAAATGCGATCGGCAGACGTTATTTATCGCAATGGGAAATGGTGCGACATGCGGAGCGAGCCCGTGACTGGAATCTGAATTCTGTTCCATATCAGCAGTAAGGCTGTATCGGTAGGCTCCCCAATTCCGCTTAAAACAAAACTTCAACAGGAAATTAAAGAGCAAGAACAGACCACAATGGAAAGCACTTTGAAGCACAAGTATTCTGCGAAATGAGGACCAGATTTCTGGTGGATGAAATGTCTGGTTGTTCTCATATCACCTGGGCCGTGTGCGATTCAGTTTTGTCACCAGCGCAGCAGTCAAACGAGCTCACAGTGGATGGTCCCAGGCAAATGTTTTTGCGAGAGTGTCCATGTATCTGAAAACATGCGGTCACAATCCTACCACTTGTAGCTACAACTTACTAGTACAGACCATGTTCACACAGAATTCGTTACGTAACACTGAAAGAATCAAGCCAAACGAAATCAAAAATCTCGGCTCACTGTGTACAGCAACGCCATTGTAATCTCATCAGTCATGTGGGCTATCGATTTTCGTACTTTCCGGTGGTTGCTCCAAAACACAACCCCGGCAGCGCACGCCTGCTCTGTTGGCTCACTTCTCAGGTATACCAACAATTTTATGACATACTCATGTTGGCGTCTGTAGCGCATTTTGCATATGAATATAATGCCCTCTAGCAAATGGGTCTGATTCTCTCTTCAGTGCTCCCCGTTGCCGGGATCTGCAAAGGCCGCTACTCCGCTGAATCACAAGATCAATAAATGCTGTACCATTTATCCCGCGCGCAACGTTTAACGGTAAACTGCTGAGCAGAGACTACGATCGACGTGGGAGCAAACTGTGTCAATTTCCAACAATCGGTAGCCATCTTGCTTTTCATTTACACGTGATTTAGTGTTTACGTAGCGCCGTAGTGGTTTAATGGATGTAGCGGTGGACCGGTGGTGATAAATGCTATAACATCCGTTCCATGACTCTACAAAATAAATCATTTATACAACGTCGCAGCCGAGTATTCTTAGGCGTAGCTTTACTTTGGAAATTATAACACTGGTCTCGTTGGAGCATTTTTATTATGTGAAAATCATGTTTGCTGTAGCAATGCTTCTGTGTTATACTGGCTGACGACTGACTTGCGCAAGCACGGGCGCGAAGGTCCCTTGTCGATTTCTGCTGTGGTTTTCTACATTCTTAGAGCACCCGGTCCTCGTATGTACGATACTTAATTCCAGAGTTTATACATAAGTTCTCTGAATTTCCTATCGATGCCGATCAAAAGCGAGTATTTCACGGGCGGACGACGTACTACTAGAGGACACTATAACGTGCAGAACCCCGTCTTGGTCCATGTAACTGACAACGAGTTTTACCTGGGATACCTGCAGGACATCGAGGGCGATAATGTTTTCGTTGATTTTGATTGCACTTCCATTCCGCCATGGTGGATACCAAGCGGACGTGTGTGGTTCTACAATATCGATCGGTATTTCAGTTTTCACCACCTCACAAGTAAACCCACAGTTCCCCGGACATCCTCGTGGCTCTGAGAAGAGAACCCAATGGACCGTACATTTTTCGTCGGTCTAAACTTTTACACTACTACAATAATTTGATTCTGTGCAGTGTCTCCGGCACGGAAGATGATGTGAAAAAGACGACAGTGCACCTTGTGCATCGGTGGCAAGTTGCTGCTTACCTTTCGTTTTTAAGACACGAGACAAATAGTTATTGGTGCGGTTTAATGGATGTGGAACAGGTTGTCATTACTTTGGAACAACCAAACGGGTCAGCGTGGATCAACGAGGACGATATTACCGCTCTGACGACAAGCTTACCGGCTATTCATCTCGCTGCAAGCGATTTTATAGATCGAATTTCTGTACGACCTGACAGCAAGGGGATCGTATTACTTGTTGCCCATGGCGGACGATTTCACTCCTTGAGTCCAAGCTATGTTTTCGCGCGCTGCTGCTGCAAAATGCAACTGCATTCCGGACGTTCAAGAACAGTCCAAAAATTTGCATCCACCTTCCAAAAGCTTCTTCTTATTCGCTACGAAAAATTAGAGTTTCCGCGACCCTTTTTAACGACAAAGCCAGGTAACGGTGTCATGTCGTGAGCTGACTGCTATCTTATCTTAAGTGACCGTCCTTTAACTCAACACAACAAACAGCGAACTTGGGCATCTAAAGGCATAATTCTAGTAGCCGGTTGCCAAGTCCACGAGGCTATCCTCGCATAGCACATATTAAATAAAATATTTATTTAATTACATAATACTTTATGACATCGCCACAGACAGTTGAAGCCAACCCACAAATTTTTGCCGTTTAGGTGGACGCATATTTTATTGTCGCAATAATTATGGAGATACTCTAGCTAGGCAGCATCTCGCAGCGATTGATTAACAGGAGTTTGTTTTATGCACCTATTTGCAGCCGATTTCGGTTTCCGGATTAGGCACCTTTCAATCGATATCACAGCGGGAATTCTGCTTAACTTGGACGTGCACGCACAGATCGTAGCGAAACGGTAGGATGCAACCAATCGATATGCAACACGGCACGCGCCCGGCTCGGTCTATAGGTCACAAATATTTTGCTTTCTGCAATAAGCAAAATTATTGTAAAGACGCCAACTACTGCAGAATTTATATCGCGATAGGTCAGTTGCTCTGTGTAAGCCTTACGCGTCGCGCAAGCGGCATTCGGGTAAAAATCATGACGTCATGGCGGGTAAGCAGGTAAACGATTTGACTGGTAAACCAGAATTCTGGGATGGGTATTCAGCTGACCCGTCCGCGTTTCGTGCCCGTAGAGCATACTCTTGCGCTTCGAAATCGAAGCGCAACCATTACCCAAACCCGCTCTCCTGCACAGATCAATAAAATTTTTATTTGTTTGGATCAAAAGTACATCCAGCGACCCAGATCCATCACAATTAACATTTTTGACGTAATACCACGTTTCACGACATTACAGCATCAAAATCGAGTTTTCCAGTTCCACTGTTGTCTAATTTCTTTCTTGGGCGGAAACGTACTCGACTAACGGTCGGACGATTAATTTTTTCACTGAGTCATGGACAGATTTTTATGCGCTTTTACGTTACCCGACGCGCATCGGTTACCCTAAACGCAGTTGACCTATACCATTGTTGGTTATCCCTGACCACAGAAACACAGTACGCTTGGCATATCAGAAGAACTTTGGCGCTTTATACTGGTTCTCTGACGCTAGTTGACTCACTTGACTGTAATTATAGAGTGCGCGCCTTGTGGAGCAAGTTGTTGTTGGCTTCTAATCCGGCGGTGTGCGTCGTGATCGACTGTAGCAGCAATGCCATTTCACCATTCCATAGAGCCACCCAAAGTTACCCTTATGGGTTTGTACTGAATCGTGCCGTCAACAGTGCTACGAAATTTCTGGCCTTGATTAACCTGAGCGATGATGTTAGCGAGTATTACCAAAGTGCCTGCATTTTGGACATTACCCGATTACCGCCACCATCCTCGCCACTAACAACATCCGTCTATCGGCGCTGCTGGTTAAGCACTGGAAAATGAGCGTTGAATGAATACGGCCACTTCCGATTGCAGCATTAACTGCGCGGGATGAACGGGATCGCCTTTGTTTCACTGCTGCTGGACGAATTGTTAATCCTATTCGCCGGTTGCACTGGCAAAAGATCTCCCGGCAGTTAATACTGTCGCATTACAGTGTGAACTTCAATGTCAACTTTGATAAGAAACCGCAGATAACGTCCGTGACCTACCGGATGCCGGGCTATAACAGTTCCAGTGAGCCAGAGAGTGTCCTCATCGAAATTCCTTACTTGCGTCTGGATGGCGGTGAGAGTCTCGACGACAGCTTTTACCGCGTGACGAGCACGCTGGACCAGCACTGTCGTCCCGTGGATGCGCTCGCTAAAGAACAACTGCGGACCTGCAAGCCGACTGGGTTCGCACTGTGCCGTATCCGGGAGAGAAATGGAACGTATTCCAGCATCACTTGCATTAGTGAGTTCCTCAACACAATCTCATGTGAAAAGCCGGTGAACACTCTGACACCGATAGTACAATTACAGTATGTTATACAGGGGCGTGTCTGCGAGTATGTGGCTTTGACAGGAGGAAAAAATTTACCGCAATTCTGTTTGACGATGCGTACGCTCACTGGCTGCATCCGCTGTAATACAGTATTGTAGGGCCACAATTGGCCCGCGCACAAGCTCTGACTCTGACTCAGACTCTGACCGCTCAAACTCTGACTCTGACTACTCGAAGTCTGACTCTGACTGTCCAAACTCTGACTCTGACTGTACAAAGTCTCACTCTGACCTCAGAATAACCTAAGCAACTAAGAACTACCTAAGAATAACCTAAGAAACCTAAGAAACCTAAGAATAACCTAAGAAACCTAAGAAACCTAAGAAACCTTAAAAACCTAAGGAAAAACGTAAGAAACCTAAGAAACCTTCAGAATCAGAGTCAGACTTTAAGCGGTCAGAGTCAGACTTTGAAAAGTCAGAGTCAGAGTTTGAGTGGTCAGAGTCAGAGTCAGAGTCAGAGTTGGAGTCTGGGCCAGTATTGGCCCCAGTGCACATACAATCCACTTCAAGCGCTATTATACGCTGCCGGTCGGCTGCACGTTTTAATACGATATCGTCAGTTCTCTTGGCGGTCAAATTATGTACTTCTAAATTTTTATGCTTACATTACACCTGTAATTCGTAGTTTCATACAAATATTGTGTTGCAACCTGTGGAGTTTTGCAGTTATGGAATAGACCATCCCGCCGACTCCCAAGTCTTGTATGAAGGTGTGAATCTCAGAGATTTCGACAACCTTCCAATTGGCAATCTTAGTCTAAGGATCCTAGCGCAAGACTATGTTTGCCCATTTGGGACGGAGGCGTAATATTGCGAGAAATATACATATTTAGACCGTGTGCATCGGCTCCCATACGGATGCAATTTTGTTCCTTGTCTTTTTTTGCAATTTTTCTTCGGACAGTGCAATCTGGGATCTGGCTTTTTCGTACCAAGTGCTTTTTCGTATCAGGTATACGGATATTTGCACATACCTTGCCCGGTGTTCACGGCAGCCTGCAATGACCAGCAAGGACACAACAACGGCCGGACTAAACAGTGTCTGAGATGTTGTCGTCCTACTGTACTGTATTAAGATCCCGTCAGATGTATGCGCTGTGTAATCCCCAGGAAGCTGTTCATCACAATTTTTGCTCTGTCTGTTTTTTTGTCTGAATACGTGCGTACATGCAGAACACATGTACATTACATGCGGCTCATTTTAACAGCGGTTCTCCTGAATATTTTACCTGACGTCAGTGGCTTCCACAAAGTATTGACAGTGAGTAACTGACAGAGAGTACTATCTGAATACCTGCAGCCGCAGGGCATCGATGGCGATAACGTCTTCGTTGATTTTGATTGCCCCACCCTTCCGCCATGGTGGATACCGGCAAACCGTGTGTGGTTCTACAATCTTGACCAGAGATAAAATTTTTACCTATTTAGAACGTTTACTATTGATTTTACTTGAATTTCTGACAAAATTTGTCGCTTCGCGCGAAATTTGGCTGTTTCTTTGACTTCTGCTTGCATTCCAGTGCGTCAGCGAAAAGTTTTCTTTAAGTTTTGATTATCAAAAATAGGTCTTTATTCATTTGAAACTTTCGCTTAGCTTCGCTTAACAATTAAAAAATATTTTCCGTGTTCGCTAAGTTTCGCTAAATGGTTTGGGAAAAGCGCTAAGCTTCGTTGTTTTACTTCAAAATTTTGATTGCAGTTAAGTTCTGCTAAGTTGGCGAAAAATGCTGAAAATTTCCGTTTCGCTTTGAAAATCTTAGCGGTTTACGGACTCTACTTAAAAGCTACCTCAACGATCCCCTCGACATCCTTGTGGCGCTCAGGAACGAACCGAATGGACCGTACATTTTTTATCGATTTAGACGGTTAAATTAGCTTGTCGGACCGGCAGTGCAATCTGTGGTATGGCGAACAAAGTCTTTCTTTGAAACACGAATACATAATATTACATACTACGTAGACGAGGTTTTATGACTGTGCAGAAGAATTAACACTTTTAGTTTAATATGTGTAAACGATTCCGCTTTCCACATTAGAAAGTAATCTAAACACTACGAATACGGAACCGAATACGAACACGGATTGAAATGGGGTTCGTAACCGCATCAGAGATCTGACAATGCATTCGGACCGAAACAGATGTCGAAACGGTTGGTATCGATGATTTCGGCCATTTACACTTCGGTTGCGCTTATTCGGCCACCACTCACATTCGACCACATTATGTACATTTAGGCAGAGTTCGACCAATGTTAATATTATTATCAATAATTAAAAAATTTGCAAACTTGCAGTCTAGTAAGAAGATTAAATGAATGCGTCGATGCATTGTGCCAACTTTTATCTGTTTCTATAAAATTTGATCAACACCTACTTTATTAGGAAAGAAGCCAACAAATAAAGCTAATATCTATAACCTAAGCGTATTGATGGTTGCGTATTGACGCGTTGCGTTGCGTTGTGTCTACCTGATAACAGATCATTTATCAGTTAACATTCAGAAAAAGAAACAAACTTTGTTGGAACAGAACACAGAATCCCACGTTCACTTGCAACTTCAGCTCTCTCATAATTCAAAAAATTAATGTAACAGAAGAAAACCAAAACGTATGATCGAAGAAACCAAAGATACCTAAAAAACCTAAAAAAACTGATAAGAACAAATAGTTTCTCTTTTAAAAAAAAACTAGAAAGTCTCAGGTCAAGCTGTTCATGTATGGTCCGTATTGTTGTGGCGACCTCGGGGACTCGGGTTTTCTTGTAAATTGTGTAAGCAGCTTACACTTTACAACTAACACTAAGTAACAACTGACAACTTGACACAAGAAAAATAAAAGCCAAAATGTCATGTACCCAAAATAATCGTGGCCGAATAGAGTGCGGACCGAAGTGAGCAAGGCGAACTGTATGTTGCCGAAGTGATAACAAGTGCCCGAAACCGCACCCGGACAATTGGGAGTGGGACATTTCGCCGCACTCAAATTCTACGCGCGACTTTTCGCCGCGAAGAGATTTCGTCGCCGGACATTCGGACACTGGGACACTTCGTTTTGGGACTTTCTGCTTTGAGACATTTTACCTTTGCGACATTTCGACGCAAGACGTCTGGTCTCGGATAATTCGTCTTGGGACGTTTCGAACGATGCGACTGATTACCGCAAAATAATTAACCGCGTTTAATTCTCACTAATTTTTTCAGTTTTTTAGGCTTGTTTTTGTTTTTCTTAAGTTTTTAATATTTCTCTGACTTTCTTGGGTCGTCTTATTTCTTCTTAGTTTTTCTTGGGTTTTCTTAGGTTTTCTTAGGTTTCTTAGGTTTCTTAGGTTTTCTTAGGTTTCTTTGGTTTCTTAGTTTTCTTAGGTTTCTTAGGTTTTCTTAGGTTTTCTTAGGTTTCTTTTCTAGGTTTTCTTAGGTTTCTTAGGTTTCTTAGGTTTCTTAGGTTTCTTAGGTTTCTTAGGTTTCTTAGGTTTCTTAGGTTTCTTAGGTTTTCTTAGGTTTTCTTAGGTTTCTTTTCTAGGTTTCTTTGGTTTCTTTGGTTTTCTTAGGTTGTTTGTTTGGTTTTTGTTTTCCAGTTTCTCCTTTTCTGACTCTTTTAGTTCGCTTAGTAAATCATTTATCTAATAGGCGTAATGTCCTTCGTCGAGATGTCTTGGGACGAAATTTCCTTGCGTCGAAACGGCTGTGCGACGGAAAGTCTCGCGGCGTAAAGTCTTACCGACGAAATGTCCTGCGACGAAAGGTCGCGAGACGAGATGGCCTTGCGGTGAAATGTCTGCGTCCAAAAGTCTTGCGACTAGTTGTCCGCGGCGAAATGTCGCTGTGCCGCCCGAAACGTAGCGCGGCCGAAGTGGTCAGGTAAAAGCTGCTTTAGACCGGAAGCGCTCAACCGCCCAAGTCGGCGACTGCAAGCTAACTAGCTGCACTCGATCCAGCTTCTTTTAGAATTTTCCTATTGGTCGGTAGAGCTCGTTGCGTACGCCTGTACGACTCGTACAAGCTGCATTTTTTAACGTTATTTCAATTGCGATACCTCATATCAATCAAAAATTTGTTTTTAAATTGTGAAAAGAGTTTTCAAAAACTTTTTAAGCTCATAAAAAAGAGGAATGTTTTCTCTACTTAAAATCCAAAGCAAACGAAATTCCATCAAGACAGGCAGAATCGACAGCTATCCGGAGACACGCTACGATTCAAAGCTTAAATTTCGTGCTTTACGGAAGGTTTACGAAACGAATACGGCTATGACGCATGCAAAAGAGGCGGGGATTCGTATTCGGAACCGCATTCGTAGTCTTCAGATTGCTTTCTATTTACTGGCTAACGTAAAATTACGATAACTGATTTTATTTCGCAATAAATTTGCATGAATTGATGGCTGCCAATTCTACAGTATAATATGAACGCAAAACTAACATCATCTGAAGCGTCATCTGGAGACGATGCGTCAAGCTGGGTACGGCTGCTTCCTGTCTGCAAAATTTCCTTCTGAGTTGCAACTTATGCCGGCTTGGACTGCATTCATTAATCACTCCTTTAAAAACGACAATACATACGACATATAACTGACAACTCACTACTAAATATCGTAATCCACAGCAACGCTGAAGCACAGCTGCCGGCAAAAACACAGAAACCGGCTGCGATGGCTACGTTGCAAAGCGCAAAGGAGTTTTAATCTTGATAACGGTTAATGCTATTTTTCCTTCGCTGCTTAACATTTTAAAACCGCTACGTAAAACTGCATTACTTTGTCTCCGTTGCTGAACAGCTCGCCATACTCGCACTAACTGCAACTTCAGTAAGAAAGAAACGCCACTACTGGCGTGTTACAAGTCGTTCAAGATGAACCAAGTGCACAAGTTCTGCATCGCAGCAAGAATGGCTGTCGGTCATTTTTTGTATGGTTTCCCCATACCGCACCACGCATCCTGCGCCACATTTCAGTGGATTCGTTTGATAGTAATGTTTGGCGGTTTTACCGTACTTTTAGCCATCTTTGACATCGGCAGCGATATATTTTTTATTGTTCATTTATGGGGAGAAAATAAATGCGGCATTGCCATTGCCTGGCTGGTATTCATCACTACCGTGCCGTTCCTTCCAATTCTTATCTCCGCAGTAAAACAACGCTTTGTCACTCATCAACGTTGGGAAAAAGCAGCTTCGCTTAACTGGCGATTAGCGCGACAGAGTTTAATTAAGTCTGAAGACAATTTATTAGTCTTCAAAACTGGAGAACGACTTACCAGAAGAAAAGTACGGCCATTTGAAGAGCGTGCCTATCCAGTTGTGGCCTTCATGCTGGACATCTTTCCCGTCACATTCGTTGTCCGGTAAGAATTCCAGCAGCTTGTATGTTAAAATTTGATGGAATAAAAGGGAGCCATACATACTGATTGTGTAAATTCAGTATACGGTATATAAAATTCTTATATGTTATAACGTATTTATATTTATAATGTATACGTCATAACGTATTTGAATAAAAATTCATATGTATACACTACATTCAGATATATTCCCCCTAATAAATTTACTTTCCCCTAATGAGAACAGTCTGCATGTAGATGCATATCGTACGTAAGGGCGTGGAGAAATTCCGGAGAATTCACGAAATATTACACGTACAGTGCCGACATCGAGTTTCAAGATTGGCAACTGCAAAATGCACAGCTAACTGAAATTAAGTACGAAGCAAATCCTCAGCTGATGATCTTGCTGATCCTCACTGCCACGGGATTATTTCCCTGGAGCAAAGCCGCCATCACCGCGGCATTCTCTTTCTGCTCCATCGCCAAGTACTTTCCGTTTTGCGCACAACTCCCCGGTAAATGCGCCTTCAACAGCAAGGTTTTTCTGGACAAGCATTATGTGGATGTTGAAGTCGCAAATCAACTGCTAAAACCGCATCTTTCTGCTTTCTGTGGATGGGTCACAAATTTCTTTTACATCGCGTGTCGCTATCATATTCTTATTTCTTTGATCGTTGTCAACTGGAAGGCATCGCTGGCAGTTGCTGCAATCCAAGCGGCGATCATTGCGGTGTTTCTACTGCTCTCCTATCGGCGGAAGTATTCAGCACCGTTTCCAAAAAAATCTTGGAAGCGGTATGTCGGACCCGCGTGTGCGTTTATCAGCCAGCTGTTGACAACGTTGGGATACTTTTTGTTGGTGCCGGTGACGACCACGATGACGATGATGGGGTGCGTCCTGGGGACGATCTTGCAAGGTGTGGCGATTGTAGTCTACGCGCTGGTGACGCATGTTGACTGGACTAACACTATTCAGTGTCATACCGGCTCGACATTTCCACTTTCTGCTAAGTCTTCTATGTATTATGCGTTACTGGTTGGGAATGTTTTTGGTTCACTGCTCCTGCCGTTCTTACACTATTTGGTTAGTCGGTACGCTGAGAAAAGTTCCTGGCTTATTCACCGACAAAATTGCACGAAATGCTTAGGTAAGACGCTTGTCAGTTGTCAGTTCTTCAAAAAAAGTAATGTACTCAAACGAATATAAACTGGCAGGTTATTTCTTGCGTTTAATACATATCGACAACGATTTTGGTGGTTTTCCAATGTTTAAATTTTGATAATTTAAATTTTTAATGAGTTTACAACTGCAGGCATAACTATATGTATGCGTTTCAGCTTTGGCTGGATAAAGTAATAATCCTTAATTTTAACTGCAGAATTTAAAAATCGTTACTGCAACTATCGGCCGTGTTGGCTCTGCGAATGGGCGTGGTGCGACGAACATGATCCGCAAAATGCTGAGGTAATTATTACACGAGTTCCCGTGCCATTTTTGGAGGAGAGCTACTTAAGCGATAAATCAAAAGAAGTAGTTGCAATCTTAGCGATGCTCCGAGCAGATCCTGAAGACGATTTTTTGCTCTGCAAGGGGCACACAGCGCACCTGAACCATCTACGGAAGAATGGTCCCACTGAATGCACCCCAGTTGTTATGGCTGAAATTGGATTACGCGCAGCCGTGGATGACAACAACCGGCCAATGGTGGAACTGTTCCACCCCAGTTCACCGGAACTTGCCGATTTTCAAACAGATTTTCACATGTCGCTGCATTCGTTCCTCCGTGAGTTATATTCGTGCAATGTAAACATGCGCTTACTAAAAAGGCTTCCCTACCAGATCTTTTATAAGTCCAAGCTGTACGATCAGGGAATTAAAAACCATCCAGCTCAGAACATGTATTGGGCGGAAATCGTAGAACTGAGGCAGAAACATGCATATTGCGGGGAGGACTGTCTGAAACCACTGCCAAAATTGATCTCTGATGGACCGTCACGTAGATTTATACTCACAATTGAACCGGCGAATCTGCCGTCTTTCAGTTGGCGGCTGGATAAGTTTGACCGTGATTCCAACGTTGTACCTGATGGAATGGAGTACGAGTTTTTCAACGATGCCGATCTCGAGTATGGAGAACACGAACCGGTACAAGAATGCCCGATGAAAAAAGCTCTACAGACGGAATATATTTGGCAGACCGTTGGGTGCTGCGATCCTGCCCCACACGAGTAGGTTGCGATGAACAACCCATCAGCTTGCAGTTTGGTTCGGTTAAGTAAGCACGGGAGTACTCATCGCATCGTAATCGTGCGAGGGTGTAAAACCTGGCCCTGGCAAGTGCCTGTGGAGTTGCCACTGGCATGGCAAAGGATCAAACCTGGTGTGCTATCCCTCTGGGACGCGATAAAATACGGCATGCCAGAAAACTAGAATTATTAAAATTATAACTTTCAATACGAGGTTTTTAGAGTTGATGTCTCGTAGATAGCTTTGCCGCAAACAAGCGATTAGGTATTGCAATTTACTCGTACTAATAGAACAGTACTGTACCCTTACCCTGCACTTGACGGAAATTTGTACTTGCCGCCACGGTGTCCGTTCATTTCGGAAGCCATTCATTTCGGAAACCATTCATTTCGGAAACCGTTTATTTCGGATACCATTCATTTCGGAAACCGTTCATTTCGGAAACCATTCATTTCGGAAAGCGTTCATTTCGAAAACCGAAAAATTCCGAAACGAATACATAAGAACACATAAAAAAGTAATTAGAGAAACAAAAGAAAAATGGGAATACATAAGAACACATAAAAAAGCATAACAAAAATTACATAATTTCGGAATTAGAGAAACAAAAGAAAAATGAGAATACATAAGACCACATAAAAAAGCATAACGTAAGGAAAACAAAAACATAAGAAAAATTAAGAAACAAATAACAAAAACAAGGAAATCTATTAAAAACAAGAATAACATTTCGGAAACCGATATACCTAGAATAACATTAGAAAACCTAAGAACCTAAGAAGACCAGTTAATTCAGAAACCCAATTAAGAAACCTAATTAAGAACTTAAGAAAACCTAAGAAACCTAAGAAATCATTTGAATAATACCACTTCATTAAGAAAACCACCTAATTAAGAAACCTATTTAAGAACTAAGAAAACCTAAGTATTCATTGTACATTCCGGAACATTATTGATTGTGATTGCGTTAATCTGTCATAGCGTTTGGAAGTCCACCGATAGGCCTACACCTTTGGTCGGAATGGAATACGGAATACCGAATGTATACTTGGAACGGAATACTAATATGCGGAAGAAAATTTTCGGAATATGGAACGGAATAATAATTTTAGTCGGAACGGAATCTAAGAATTAATGCGGAACGGAACCACTTCTTATCAGAACGGAATAAAATTTTTTTTAATAATTTTAAATTTCTACCGCATTTCTATCGGATGCTATGACTTTGCGCTTTTAACCGTGTAACCAGCACGATTAATCCAGTCTGTAGAAGCGGCATTACAGAATGCAACCAGCCGGCATCAAATACTGCTGGCACACTTGTTTTCGCTCTGCGAGATGACAATCCGACAATTCCCTCTCTTTCCTTTCGGCCGTCTGATATCGTTCTGACTCGCTTACCTATGTCAAAAGATTCCTGCGTAGTCTAACCGAGCAGAATTCAGGTAGAGTACCAGTCTGACTAGGCCGTCGGTTACCAGTCTGACCAGTGTTCCCTAAACGCAAAACATCTTTTGTTTTAAAACAGCTGGAAGCGCATACCGCCTCGGATGCAACACTTGCGCATTCATAACGCCAATAAGAACAAATTAACAGCTGATTACGAAAAGCTTGAAGCAGTGCAAGGAATGTACGAAATTGGCCAGATGATCAAAACAGTCTGCAGTCTGGACATATTACGTATCACGTTGTCGAATACTGTGCAGTGCGTTTCTGCGGCGTGTACGCCTAGCCAGTTACTTTTTTCCAGTTTTTAATCGGTTTTATTCTTTCTTCTAATGCGTACTACAGTGGAGATGTTGTAAATATCTGGAATTACCGTGTTTTTGTTATTGGGAAATTCGGATTACTTTTATACACACCTGCGTTATTCCGGTACCATGTCCGGTAACGACATCTGCTACGAAGATGCCAACGTAATGTAAGCAAAATGTGGTAACCTCTTCTTTTATATATCAAAGTATGATACCTGCTGTCACAATCAGTAGATATGAGTGCAGCAGTATCGATTGTTACTCAACTGGTAAACTATTACAGCAGAAATGACTGTTTTGGGATAGCGTTATTATTGTAAAAACATAACATTCACAAATTTGGCTTCCGTTCTCAGTGTATAAGCATTTTACGATAACTTCAAAGCCTCAGCCGGTGTAGTGTTTACGATAATATCAAGGTTGTAATGCGCTACGCTTTGCAGCAGGGGCGCCCGGAAGTGTTAGCTGTTGTCGGAGGTGGCCGGCGGCACTGTAGTAAGTGTACCGCCGGCCCGGAAGTGTTAGCTGTTGTCGGAGGTGGCCGGCGGCACTGTAGTCACTGTACCGCCGGCCCGGAAGTGTTAGCTGTTGTCGGAGGTGGCCGGCGGCACTGTAGTAAGTGTACCGCCGGCCCGGAAGTGTTAGCTGTTGTCGAAGGTGGCCGGGGTCACTGTGGTCAGTGTACTGCCGGCCTGGAAGTGTTAGCTGTTGTCGGAGGTGGCCGGCGGCACTGTAGTCAGTGTACCGCATTTTACAATAACTAACCGAATGATTTCCTTTCGCTTTTTATGAATTTTTTCAAAAAATTTGCTGATGTTCAGTCTGAGTTTGTGGTATCCTGCTCCTGCATTTACGTTGCTTCACATCTTGGGATGAATATTTGTTGATGACGCGGCTTATGAGACATCGTTGTATCAACTAAACGTAGTGGTCACTTGCTTATTAAATAAATATTTTTACCGATACTTTCTGTTTTTTGTTTTGCAACGGTTTTGGTTTATTAATTTGCTCATTATATGATTTTTGAACTGCCCATACAAATATTTTTTTGTTAAGCAACGGCAGCGGGCTATATTCCGTGCAAATGTTCTCCATAATTAATTACCCTGCAGCATATTAACCCGATACTACGGCGCCTTCAGTTTATGCCGATATGATTGTATTAGTTTTCAAATAAAAACGATTTCCTACGTGAAATACTTACGAACTGAAAAGTAGTGTCACCGGAGCGCAGTTAAGTACTTAGCTTCAACTACTGTACCTGATAGTGTATGAACTACCGGCAAAATTACAAATGAATTTAGAATTCGCCACTTTACAAAATACTACGCTGTTCTATTCCGCAGGAACATTGTTCCGTTCCGTGCAAAATATAATATTCCGTTCCGACTAAAATTATTATTCCGTTCCGTATTGCGAAAATTTTATTCCGCATATTAGTATTCCGTTCCGAGAATGCATTCCGTATTCCGTATTCCATTCCGACCAAAGGTGTAGGCCCAACCGATATGGACATTGGGGATGAGTCATCCCGGATGACCACTGAGTAAGCGTTCGGAGCTGTGTGATATGCAGCATCGATTTTGAGTGCAGAAAGTTCTATTGATAAGTACCGATATTGTAAGTGTTAAAATTATGTGATGCTGCAGTTACGTACGTTGAATAAGTTGGAATAAGACAATACGTTGGCAGGCTAATATTACTGAGGTTATTTTTATCTCATTCTAGGATCCCAGTATTGGCCTTGGCACTTGGTGCAAAGAGATCACGAAGTGTTGAACAGATATCATAATATAATTATTACATAATTAGAACATTATATTATCACAACAGATATTATAATTTTTGCAGGTCATTAGAGATCATCTTGAACAAGCATTGTCAGCACCTTAGAAATGTCTTTAAAATTCAGTTTTAATAATACTCTATCAAGTATTCGGCCGAACGAATGACCGTACGACTTATGGTACAAAGACCTTTTTTGTCTTTAGCTTTAAAAGTTGAAATTATTTGCAATTTCTTGGCATTTGAAAGGGTCAGTGTGTCGTCTACCAAACGAAAGTTGGTTGAACGCAGGACAGCAATTAAAGCTCAAAGTGATCAGCGTATGATGTCTGAATGGTAACTGCATACCATAAAAATGTTGTCTCTAGACTCTATATGCACTGAACTCGATCGGGCGAAAAAGGAAATCGCCAAATCGGTGCCGATGTGAAACTGCTCTGTTGCACTAAAAAAAAGGCGCCTTATACAGATTTCGTAACTCATTTCATAAAAATACGCACACAAGCATATGTCAAATAATGATTGCAAATCGAAACGCGGAAGCAGTGTTTCTTGAAGCGGCGTGGTTTGGAGCTTAGTGTAGTTCTCGAATTCATTCTTTTTGCAGCACTGTTACGTAGTTAATTGCTGATCGCGCTGTTCATGCCGGTGTGTGTTATTCGTTGAGAAAACTCTTGTAACTCTTGTCTATTTACGGATTTAAGTACTTATCTGCAGCTAAAAGCTTCTGATACCATCGCGATTTTACTTGCAGCTTGTACAATGCAGACACCGGTCAATATTTTTCTATTTATTTATTAAACTCTGTTCCACGTGTTTTCTTGCATATGCCGTATTTTATTGCGTCCCAGAGGGATAGCACACCAGGTTGTATCCCTTGCCAAGCCAGTGGCAACGCCACAGGCACTTGCAAGTGCCAGGTTTTACACCCTGCCAGCCTGCTGTACTACATCAGCACTCTGTGCACCTTCCTTTTGGTACAACAGCGATGTTCAACCGGCAATTTTAATCTCTATCTGTAGAAGCAACATTCTTGCACGTGTATCAATTTTCACAAGTCTTCACTTTCTCTAACTTTGTTGCAGTTGTCTTAAACAGCTAATTAACAACGTTAATTCAAGTTAATGTTACGTCGACGGCGCTTCCCTTCTTCTGGACGCCGCATCGGGCGAGCCGGACCACCATTCACGCGCTTTGATGTGGACTGGCGCCGGCCGCTTTGTGTGTTGTCTCTGTTTAGCCGCTTTCCGCGCACTGTTCACACTGCACGCTCGCTTGCCATCACGAGTTTTTATTTTGCTCGCTCACTGGTTAGCCTCTCGAGTTCTCATTTCGCACTTGTTCGCCTCTCGACCTGCACGTCGAGAATCTTTTTTTTGACAACTCTGGTGTTCCAATTCTGATAGCGTTTTAGTTACAACGCTAAATTCGCTACGAAATTCAAGTATCGTGTATCGTGCCATTCTAACTGCACAATGACTGGAAGGGGAAGAGGCAGGAGGACAGGTCGTGCTCGCGGTGGCTCTGGAAGACCCCAGACACGTTCGGCGGCTCAACAGAAAACCGGCAGTGCGAA